CTTTTCCGCCAGTACTTTTCCACAAGTTTTTCCACGAGCGTGGCCTGTCACGTTGAGCACGTGATAGGTCCGTGGAAAAGCTCGCCAGCAAAGCGCCCTGGGATTACGTCACACTATTGCGCAAGAATGCAGAATTCTGGCGACGACTACAGATCAAGCCGAATTTTCAACTCCTGCCCTGGCCCTGAGGGCCTGGGCCGGAGTAATAAAACTAATAAATCCTAGGGTATTTCGCAATAGAAGCTGTTTAAGGCCAGACTCAGCTACAAGAGCAATCATGTTCTTGCAGACTTTGTCTTTGGCTTCCGTGAATATCGGTGAAGAATTCGACGATATCCGACGATTTGTGCGCGAAGAGCAACATCGACGTAATAGCCCTGAGACACGAAATTTTGAAGGGGATTCCCTAGCTTCCTACAGCTCGCCCGGGTAAGTGTACCAATAGTGAAATGTTCTTTGTGCTGTTTGGTACCATCATGAGATAAATTATGGATACTATTCGAATGATCGTATTTTGTTGATTATTTTCAAATCTGGAGGAAATTGCTATGACTGTATTAGCTTCTTAGGCCGAAAGACGTTTAACGCTGGCCTCGTGCAATCTTGCAACGTTTTCCAGCGCTGTGACAAAAAGCACGTGGCCTTCAGTAGCACTTTTATCATGACAGCTACATTCATTTTGCAACATAAGAATCTGGGCTCAAAGAAACTGCTCAGAAGTATTTTAGTTGTAACACTCAATGCTCCCTCGTAGCGTTGTGTGACGACCTCGAAGGACTAGCTTGCTCGAAAGAGTTCTAGTCCGAACAAAGATCATATGCAACAAATATATGGCCTGCGATCAGGCTCATCTTTGAGTCGCACGCGCGAGCGGCGAAGGGCGAAGCAATCCGAACGGCGGATGGTGAAACTTTCTCGTGATTGCTTATTCGAATGAATATAATTTGCTGGTTATGGCAAAAAGTGGAAGAAATGGTTAAGTCTGAGTTCTTAGACGAGAGACATAGAAGAATTAACGGAGACTCATCTTGTGACCTTTCTATTTCGAAGCCCTGACAGAAAAGCACGTGGCTTCAGTGGTACTTGAAAGCTACAGGAATTTCGCAACATAACTCAACATAAGAAATTATCCCTAGGCCAAAGGACACTACTCCAGAGTAATGCAGTACGAAAAAATATGCAAGCAGCTCGATTAGGTTTTACTTATACATGCAAATTTGATTCGCTTTCTTTTACATGTAATTGGGCTGATCAAAACGTCGTTCTTTTTTTCTATCGCTAGTTTTTATCACTCATACAAGCCACCATCTGAAGTGTCATTTGATGGTTGTTTCAGGAGAGTAGCCAAGTTAACTAAATTTTTCAACAATTATGTAACTATTTTATTAACTAGCAAGCCGCCGCGTGGTTCACTGGAGATGATAACTTCAAAACTCGATTTAATCTTATCCCTTAACGCCTTTACTTAGTCGAAATAAAATCTGACTCAAACCTCAATCCTCAGGTGTCTCGTGGCTCTCGAATGGAGGAGAACAAGAGACTGGCGCTGAGGGTAACCACTAGCATGGCTATTACTACTAATCGCTTTATGCAACGGGAACCACGATGACCGACGGCTGCGATGCTCAATTATATTTCCTCGCTCTCTCTTGAAGTAATGTTTTCTTACGTTTTCAGCGCGAGTGAGGGGTCGAGATCAGTCGATTATCTTAAACCCTTATGATCACTCGTCTTCTCGAATCCGGGGCGCTACGAAGAAAATAGGTATGACGTAAGATTCAAAGGGAATTTTTTTTGTCGCATGAGCTCACGTGACCGAAAAAAGGTATATCGTGACATCATACGCAAACAGCAGCCATCGACTTTTAAACACGTAAAAGTTCTGACAGTCATCAGAAGCCTATCTCCCAGTTTCGTCTCAGTTTACAGCGCTTTTAAAGTGTCTGAGAGCGAGGGAGACTGTCTTCGATCTTCCCAACTGTAAGCAGTCTGCTTGTCATTTTACTCAGGCAAACACCAGCGATTTATCTAATCACAGCTCCTTTGGCCGTAAAAAAATTATTTTGCCTGACAGCGTCTTGGCGAGACTTGCACTTGTTTCGATCTTATGCAAAAATGTTACATAGAAGCGTCAGTAAAAATCATAGTCAATGAGCGAGTAAAATGTTTCTGTAATAGACAGATGTTTTACCTAGCATTTAGACTTACACTGCGAGCAGATCAGAGTCTCGTGGCCTTCGATCTTCCGAGAAAAATCGAAGGAGACTCTGCTGTCGGCATGAGCATGGAGAAGTGAACATATCAGTGTAGTTATTATTCCCCATATGGAAGGTGTTTCATTTATACAATTTACAATTTTCTTCATAATTTTAGCTTCAAGGCAATGTTTATTTTATTGCGCGCAAATAGCACTGATCATGCACGTTCTGTGCACAAAAACAACTTATGGCTTCCTTGTTGTTGCAATAAGCAAATTTATATCAAAACTTTGCATATCTGGAGTTCAGTTGCTCACTTCGCTGAGAAATAGTATAGGTTGAAAGGCTGTAGTGAAACTTCAACATTGCATTCAAAAATGTGCGAGATAAGCAGTTCATGTTAGAAACGCATGTTGGCTCGCACGTAAGGGCCCGCAAGCAAGCAACCAATACATGTAAAAAGCTGACGTATTTCCGGGTATTATTTCGAACGTGACCGTGACCAATAGCAAGCGCAATAGCGTGAAGCGGTTTTTGTAAAGGCACGATATTGTTTAGTTAGCACAAGTTTGGCCACGGTTTGGAAAGATCAGGATATCTCAGAAGTCTTAGAAGGGGTTGGATATCTAGAGGTGTAGGAAGACCTAACTTCACTCAAAATTGTCGAGAGCCTTTTAGTCAGTTGCGTGACAACGTAGCCTTACCTGGTTCGCTTCGCGCAACAAATTTTTCCCTCGCTGCGTATGCCACTGGTGCTCAACTAACCGATCGCCAGGCTATGTCAATGAAGAAAATAGAAAGCTCGGTTTAATAACACGAGTCGTAGGCCGCGGAGTGTTTCCACAGCTGCGTCGAGTCCGCCCAAACTTCCACGCCTTACCAAACAACTGCGTATGAAATAAGGGCTTAAAATATAATTGTCTCCAATCATAGAGGAATGACAAATGGCTTTCTTTAAATCTGACCAGTCGTACTTCATAATATCACTATGACTCATGGACAGAATTGAGAAGAAATCAATGGACGGATAACAGTTTGGTGGGTGTATTATAAAAGCATTTTTTCCCACCTGTTCCCGCCCCACGCTAACGAGGTTCAAAGAACCAACCGCTTAAATCTCCATTCGTCTAGATCTTGTTTCGACGTAGCAGTGTTTTTTTTTCTCCTGTGGAGATCACTACGTCAATTTCGAGCTGATTACTAGGTGATTCTTGCTTTAAGTGTCAGAGGTTCGTTAACAAAGTTGATGCAAGAATTTGAAGGGGATTCCCATGAGCCGAACTTCGCGTGAGTACAGTTTTAATGATGAAATGCTAAATTTTCAGTCGTTCTTAGTTTTTGATCTAAATTCTTCACTTCAACTTCAACTATTAGAGGCGATGTGATAATGATGACAAAAAACAGAATAACTAAGTAAAATCTTAGTGCACCAATTTTTACAATTAATATAAAGGACGACACAACAATTACACAGTATAGTTCACGAGAGTCAGAAATGAACCATGCATATGTCAAATAAATTATCATGAGCATTAGATATAGGAATAGTACACTGCGTATGGTTTGTTGTTGATAATGGTAAGAAGTTAAAAATTATACTGCTCAGTTTTAATACATATGTGACGAGGTGCTGGCAACGGCAAAACACGTGGCTTCTGTTCATATTAAAAGTGCGACTTCTAGTACTCCCATTATTGGTGGATTAGTAGAAATCTAAACCAATACTTCATAATAATAAGTAAAGGAAAAGTGAGTCAGTGATTGCAAGTGCAATTAAAACCCTTGATTCTGATGCAAGACTTAATGTATTGTCGCGTGTCTAGGCGTTGCGTGACGATCAGAAGAACTCACTTTACTAAGAAAAGAAAGCGTCTGCTTTTACGATGTAATAGTGGTGATGTGTTTAGAATATGAAAACGATCAGAGTGCACACAAATAAATCAAATGGAACGACAAGACTGTCTAAATGTAAGATATAATCGTCTCGATGGCATTTTAAAAACCATGACGAGTCGCTGCCGCATTTCTGGAACACACTAGTTTGTCGTGCCATTTAATTTGCTAGGTCAGGGTGATTCTTGACTACTGAATATTTTGATTTACAATCCAGCCTCATGCCAAGAAAGTCCTGGAAAATAACATAACCTTGAGTACAAATAAAGGCACGCGACCAAAACAATGACGATGAGCAATTACACCGGTCTCTCGTTGGAATTTTAAAGTAATAAAGATTAACGGAACGGTTCATGTAACAGACTTACTGTCTTGAAAACTTACAATGACTCTGGGCTTTCAAATACTAACGTCAAGTCAACATTCTTCATCTCCAAAGAAATTTAAAAATGATTCGTGCATCAAGTCGTGATCTCTCTAAAGGCATATGAAATCGTTTCCATCGACACTCCATAATCAATTTCTCTCCTGGTGTGCACAGAACTCTTGCACCGAAGAAACTGCCACTCTGACTGTATATCTCTTTCTTGGTCTCTTTTTCTTCTTGATCCTATTTCTTGATCTATCCCTTTAATCAATCCTTTTACTCGATCGATCGTCATCGTCGTCTTTACACTTATGCATTGCATCATATCTAGATTTTTAGCAAGGTACGTATTTACTGTTTTTAGATAACTGAGTCACGCTGAGTCACGCAGTTCCAGAGAAGTTTCAATTTTTTTTTTTTTTTTTTTGCATTTTGACTAGATCTTTAAAATTAATTCTGATCCTCGAAACACAAGGAGTACTGAATATTTGTCACATAAACATGAATAAAAAACATCGCGCCGAAAATAGTGATCAGTAATAGCAGATGTTCGTCGATAATCGACTGAGAAAATAGTTTTCGAGTGCCAGTCTTCCGAAGATGTCCTTTAGACTTGTTACGCAACCTTTCTTGACTCACGTAACGAGCACAAGTGTTGACGTAATATCAGAAACAACAAGGTATAAAAAGACTGTTGCACAGTCAGCAAAATCATAATTAGCTTGCCATTCTCAACAGTGTAGGTATGAATGTAAACGGTGTCTTAATTTTGAACTGCATTTTCCACACTGACCAAGATTGATAGGACCTTTGAAGTTTTAAATATGATTACCGTCCGCCGAGATAGTCGAGATAGAAAATGCCTCCAGGTAGCTTTGGTAGGCGGGAAAATGTAGTGATTCCATTGGCTACTGAAGAAGAGAGCTCGTTACTGAAGACAGACTTTATGCAGACTTTATGCCGACATTGTTGAATATTCGTCTGAATACTAGTGCAGTGAAGGATTTACATGACGAGTAATATTTGAAAGTTCTCTGAAAAAATTGCGGGAGCCTAAAAGGCTCATGCAATTTGAACGTATTAATTTACATTGCAGTGCAAATTTACCAGTTATTTGGCCTGCTGTCAGCCAGTCACAATGAAGTAATTTTCTCAGTCATATAATAAAAGTCATCATAATTCAGTACAGGTGGTTGCACTGCGAAAGATATTTTTTCCAAAGGTACCTGAAGTCTAATTAAGTTTGACTAGTAAAGTCAAAATAAATATTGAAAGGTAAACTGAATGATAAATGTCAAACTGTTCACAAATTGTGACGCATTTGTCTGCCTTAGTACGTCGATATTAAATTTGCTACCTGCTTAATTGGAAAATGTAAGAATACACACTTGAGTATTTTTGAGAGGACGCGAGAAAAAAAACTCCTGCAGCCTAGCTGCGGCGGTGCAATTTGAATACATTTATTTTCTGTCAACGTTTACAAATGTTGGACTTTTGGAGTGGAGTGGAGTGGTAGACTTCCCACTTTTCGTCTAGCTCAAGTTTGACAACCTTAATGTCGAAATTGACTCCCATTTCATTTTATTTGAAGCAGTTTAAGATGGTTTTGATGGTATTGCCTTCCTTTAATTTCAGAGACGCTCAACACAAGATTGATACATCGTTACTTAAAGTAGCAGCAGCGGAGCAAAGGAATAGCCAACCGGATAACGACATTGGAAGACATCCTAAAAATTCGCCTGCGGGTGAAATAACATGGCAAGGCGAGCGACAAATCGATGAAGAAGTGTACAACGAAAACACACACCACTGTGCAAACTGTCATTTGTTGCAAAGTGAATATGGCCGTGTTCTGTTTGAGCGGGACCTCGCGCAAAGAAATTTAAGACTTGCAAGCTACCGGTTCGAGGACGATCTACAGAGACAGAGGGATAGGGAAAATAATGGTATGGACTTGACGCTTTTTCCTTCATTTGTATTTTACCTACTTAGTAACTTACGCCTCGTACCCACCACCCCACCTTTCACCCCTAGGGCACATTGGTCCCTGACAAGGGTTCTCCAGTCATCTCTGTCTTGGGATTTCCCGAGAGAATATGATCTGCTTTCCTCTCTTGCTGGCTCCTGGTCTGCCCCAATCCCCTGATGACTCCTTCTAGGTCCCTGCGTCATGTGCAGCCATGTGTAGGTCATACTCTCGATCCGCAAACCTCCAACCACCATCACGACAAAGCCCTGCCCTGGAAGCTTCAGGGTAAGAGGAAGAGCGGACGGCCAAGAAACACCAGGCATCTTTAAATTTTGATTGAGCTAGCCTATGATGTGGTTCCAGTACAATTTGATTTTTAATCAGACCACAATCTTGTGATGCATAAAGGTGGACACACCTATTTCAATATTAGACTGTGATCCTGGATCTAATTTCCAGGCCCTTGCCTCAATGTACCCGGCCACAGTCGAGACACATTGTGGAATACTGAGCATTATCTGTAGTAGTGCAGTCTTTTTTGAGTCTCACTGATTTATGTTAATTCTTTGCTGACATGACAGTATTGTGCACGAAGATTAAGTCTACCTATCTGTTTGATTGTTTTTTTTTATGCAGGAGCTGCGGCTGCTTTTCAAGAAGACAAAATGGAGCATTCACATGACAAACCAGACCAATCCAGCCCCAGGATGAGCTGGCGATACTCAGAATTACCCAGCGCTAAGGTGCCATCAAGGCTAAAAGGTGACCTTAAATCTTCAATATCTGCTCTTAAAGATCATGGTGCTAGAAACACAAATACTGAAGGAACTCGGACATTTCTTAATGGGTATGCAAATTACTTAAGCGATAGCGAAGACAGTGTACACAGTTCTCTAGATGGCGGCAAAGACGGAGATGATAATGATGCTAATGATCGTGTTCATGATAGTGATGAGAATGATAATGATGATGATAATAATGCTGATAAGGACGGCGATAATCAGGAAATTGAATGCAATGACGATGACAAATGTGATAATGGGGATGACAGTCTTGATGATGACGACGATGATCATGGTGATGACAGCGACAGCGACAACGACGGCGACGATGACAGTGACGATAACGATAACGATGACGATGAATATGACAAGAATGGCGACATAGGTCAAGACGCTTCTTATTCGTGTCCAGAGGGTAATATCTCTGTGGTGTCGGACAGAGTTAATGAATCTCTAACACAGGAGTCAAGTTTTAGCTTCCATATTAGCAGTTCTAACGAAGAAAAAATCAACAGCAATGAGAATATTTATTGCAGGCCAGGAAGCAGCAGCAACGACAAAATTTCTGGTGAAAAAGTGTACGACAAAAACGAAGACAGTAGTAGAAGTAGTGAAGGGGACGATAACGCTAAGCTTTTAGCGGCAGGAGGTACCACTCCCTACGCACATAAGAAAAAGTCTCCGATCGTATCTATAGCTAGTAATGTCACAAGTCAGGGAGCAAGACCAAAGACTTCATCGCAAACACCAGTGCTTAGCAATGTGGTCGACCCAGACCTTCACGATGGGAAGATACCATCTCTAGATGTGACTGGTATTAGTCAAGGATTCCTTGCCCGGCATACCACCGATCAAAGTCTTCCATACAGCTCAAACACTGGAGATAATGACTTGCCAACCAGCGAATCTACCTCTTCCACTGACTGGCCCCACACTTCCATCACTAGTAATGGTAACTCCTCGACATCATGGAGCCTGCCCGGGCCTTCTTTTCCAAATAGAAGTGAGCCGTTACAAGATCGTGCTTATCCCAGGGGGTTGAATCCACGGTATGGGGACCCTCGAAATATGGGTTACCAGCCAGTAGCGCCGATGACGGGCTTAGGAACTGGATGGCAGTTGTCAAATCAACAAAAGCCACAATCAGGAAGAACTTCTTCAAACTTTCCTTTAGAAGACCAACGTATATCTAATCGAGCTGAATCCTGGTTAACATCCCATGATGAATCTCCCTCACATCCCAATGTCTTGGGACATTTTATAGGCGCCACTGGTACCCAGGGTGATGATTCGTTAAACAGGCAGACTTGGATGCCAGGCAACTACGAAACCTCTTGGCGCTGGCCAAGATACGATTATAACAGATATCAAACCGACCCTTCAACTATTGGAGACCTTGCTCTCAGGAATGAGCCAGCAGTGAATTCACCTGCGGTAAACGCACCTGCCCCTGCAGTCACTCTTCCCAGCGTTACTTTACCGAATGCAAGCCTCAATTTCCAAACTGCAGCCAGTGAACCCTTAACATCGCAATCCTCTTCAAGTACAATGCCAGGAAGCCACAACCTCCACCTTTCGCAAGCCACAACCTCCACTGAAGATAATTCGCTGGTTGCACTGGAGCGAAAGGTGGCTGAAGCATGCGCCATAGTGGAGAGAGTTCTTAAAGAGCGAGAAGAACGAACTAAAAGGCAAAGGGAAGAGGTGCAAAGACAGAGAGAGATAAGAGAACGGAGACAAAGGGAAGCGAGAGAAAGGAGAGAAAGACAAGAACGGGAAATGAGGGAAAGAGCAGAAAGAGAAGCAAGAGAAAGAGAAGATATGGCCGTGGCAGAACGGGCACCAGTTCAAGAGAGTCCGCTGTGGCAATGCGAGCATTATCAGCGGCGTTGTAGTGTGAGGTTTCCATGTTGTGGAGTGTTTTACCCGTGCCACCGCTGTCACAATGGATCGGGGGCGTGTGACGCTGATGATAAGAAGGCAAACCAAGCGACCCATGTCAAGTGCGCTAGCTGCGGTCACGAAGAAGAGGTCAGTGGCTTATTTTAATCAATCACGAAAATTAGATTTGAATCAATTAGGGGGAGAACGAAAACGAAGTTATCTGAAGATAGCCGCTGGTTGGTACAAAGATGGCCAACGTGGCAGCTGAAATAAAAAGTTGAGCACTAAAATGTATTCCTTCAAAGTAACATTCAAAGCACTAAAACTTTATCTCCAATTCTGAGCTCGCCAACTCTAGAATCCAAGCAACCTCTATATGTAAACTGCCAGCTTTCCGCTCTTGCTGTTCGTTATTTGCATAAAAGCTCTCGTGAACGATTTGACCAGGAGATCAAGTAAGAACACCCCTTGTAGTCAGTTAAATAAACCGCACAGGTACCCACTTAGAGAAAGCGAGTCACGCTGACAATTCTACCTCTTCATTACGTTAGATATTTGACGGACATGCAGCTGTTTTATACATTGTTGCAGAGCTAGAAAACAGTTCTTTTTCTGCAACAATTCGCACAGTAAAAATCGCGTCCGCCATCACGCGCAATGTTGTAACGTGAATAGACCAATTTCGATATATTAAAATTTAGCCTAACACAATAGACCTCAGCACGAGGCTTTGGGGAATAAACCCCACAAACTCTGTAGTTATTTCCCAGAGCCTCGTACTGAGGTCTATTGTTTTAGGCTGAATTTTAATATATCAAAATTGGTCAATTGTCGGCAACGACAACACGGTCTTTGCCCTCAAAGCGCGCCTTTTTGAGGTGTCCTTCACTGTTGTGAATGGTTTTTTTGTTTTGTTTTGATATTTCAGATAAATGAAGGAAGTCAGACCTGTAGCAGCTGTGGTGCCAGACTGTCCGAGTACTTCTGTTTTAAATGCAAACATTTTACAGGAGTAGACAAAAACCCGTTTCACTGCGACAAGTGTGGAATATGCCGGTAAGTGTCTCAGTTCTCCATTTTAACGGTTTATATCTTTGTTTGTTTTGTTGTTTGCTTGCTTGTTTATCTGTTTGTTTGTTTCTTTCTTAGCTTGTTTATTTGTTCCGTAGAGGATAATGTACAAGGAATGTTCATGTCCCTCTTGGGCTCCCAGATAGTGACACAGGTTAAATAAACCTGCAAAAAATAATACCTAACTGGCGTCTGCAAACTTGTAAACTTCCACATACCGCTAGATCGAGACAGTTTAATTAAAAACAAAATTAACACTGTGTTAACACTGTTTTCAATTTACGCCTGATAAAATACCTTGACGTTGATGGCCGTTTGGTTTCTCTAGTTAGGGGACAAATTCGCAAATTAGGAAATAAAAAGGCAACATGTTTTGCCTGCTTTTACCAAAAGATGGAAAGAAACTATTGAATTAAACCTGGTTGAAGGGATAAAGGTTATTTCCATACTATGGAACACTGACTCTTTTATTACAAGCTCTAATGACTCTAAATTCTCACTGATTTCTTTGTTACGAAACGTCGAAAATTACGAAGTCGGTAAATACTGGAAAGGCGTGGAACGTAACTATATTTTCTTCTTTTCCAATCTGCAGAATCTACAAGGACAGATCCTTTCACTGTGATGTTTGCAATGTTTGCCTGGACAAAAGACTGGAAGGAAAACACAAGTGCAGACCGGATTCTGGACACGACGAGTGTTGTATTTGTTTGGAGGTAATGTCAGATCATGGTTATGTAACTTCCTTCAGTTTCACGTGGCAATGATGTTCTTCCTCAGCGGCAAGGGTGGAAACGCCCGGGGAGGGGTACTCCCTTATATGGGCTATATGGGTTTGTGCGGCGCCAAAGGGTAGGGTTTTTCAGCCGTTTTAGTCATAAAGAGGGTATCGATTTTGGCCGTTTTGGTTATAAATAGGGTATGGTTTTAGCACTCTAGTCTTGAATTGGGTGTGTTTCTTGGAAGAAGCTACCTTCTCATCTTTATCGATAAAACCGTCAACAAAAGCATTTCATAACTTATGTTTGAGGCAACTGTGTCAGCCGCAACGGTCATAAATAGGCTATCAAACTTTTGGATAGGTCATAAATAGGGTAGCAAAAAACGCAGATTTTGGTCATAGATAGAGTAAGGGTTTTGGGAAGTGGGCCGCACACCCCCTCCCAACTTTTCTGGAAGTACCCCCCCGGGTGGAAACGTCACAAAGGAGACTTGTCCTTGTGAAACAGTGAAGTGAATGTTTGTCAGTCATGTCTCTTATCCTTCTTACATAAAATTGTCTGCGAGGCTTCATAGTTGCAGAAAATGCTGCAAAATATATTTATTTTGAGATTTTTATTTTGCACTGATACTTTTTATTTCTTGACTCCACTTTTAGGATGCGTTCAGCGGTTGCCAGATTCTGCCATGCTCACACAAGGTTCACAGGGAGTGTGCCATTGCAATGATACAAAACGGCGTGTAAGTATGCTTGAAATGTCGCAATGTTTCTTGATGGTAGTGATGAAATGTCCGCATGATCTTTCAAAATCTTTTTGCTGAAGGGGTGGGGGAAGTTAATAATAATTTATTCTTTTGCTTTTCGAGACACCAATCTTGACACTCTGTCTCCTTGCACCCCGAAACACGTGATGTGGCAACGCTTGTTTCGGGGCGCAAGTGAGTTCAAAGTACGGAACTTGATATAGTGCACGGGTCATTTTGCAATTTATGTGCGTTGGCTTTTGGGCTGGCGTTACATATCTTCGCTAGACAGTGCTGACGAGCCCCAAGAAGGGCGAAACAGCTGTCCACTGTTGCGATCCTACTTTATCGGTTCTTGTCATGTTGGTGTCTCGAAACGTTTTTCACGTAGTATCAACCTTGCAGTTTATTGCTTGTCTTCATACATTTTTTTGGCTGATCAGATCTCTTGTAGATCCTATGTTGGCAGCGTTTATCGTATGCGGTCCCTTGCAGTTTCTGGTTTCTTAATAATAAGGACAAGAGGGGGGTTTGTCAGAGAGGAATACTTGTTTCAAATAATAACTTAGCACGCGCAGCAAATGAAATAACAGACGTACGTACGACGTAAGAACCTGGTGAAATTTAAGGTCCTGTGGTAGCCTGAGAATAGATCCCTTAGTTGAGGATTGGGCGAAGAGAGAGCGCGACGAAAGAGCGAAGACCCCAAACCTCCTCGGCCACTTCACTTCACGGCCCTTCTAGCCGCGGTCAGACCCTTCTAGTACCTTCTAGCCAGAGCCTTTCACCGGCTAACCCTGTTGAAATGTGGCTAGCTTTCTGCCTTCACTCAGTGTTTGAATGTTGTTTATTTGCGTTTGGTCAGCAAAAGGTACGTACGTAATACATATGAACTGTATTCTCCTTTGCTTCTTATTCCAGGAGGAATTGTCCAATATGTCGCCATCCTTTATACAGTCAGGGATCACAGTGACGTGTTGATCAGATTCTCGTACTAGTGTGCAGCGAGATATAGGACAAAAATTTGCGTTACCAGCTGCCTGTTGAAGATTTACAAAATACATTTTTACCAGACTTTTCCTATTTCTTTAAACTAAGAAAACATAGTATTTTCTAGTATTATTTTTAGACACATTTTTCTTAAATTTTTACTGCAATCTTAATCTTACATTGTGAAGAGCTTTAGAATATTCTATAATTTTAGCGCTATATAAATCTATTATTCTTATAATTATTATTTAATCTATCATTATTACAGTAATATATAACCAACAGACTTCGGATACATCTATAGTTGCGTTACAGTTCTGATAAAACCTTTTATTAACTTATTTGAAACTTAGTCTTAATAAATTGATGGTGGGCGAAAATCGATAAGCGACCGAGCTTTAGGCCATGTAACCGAATTTAAGGACGAATTTTGCTTCCTAGAAACGAAGTTTTGTTAGTTACGTTTTCCATAAATCGTTATATTCTTTGTAAATGTAAGTGTATCGGGTTATTTTAAATTTACAGTCGCAATATATTGGTAAACTGATTGTATACTTAAGAATAAACCGAAAATAGCTGATCGATTACCGAGCTTTAGACGCTGTTAGCAGAAATCAGTTTCCTTTTAATAACAACGTGAACTTTGGCTATTATTTTAATTTTTAAAGTATTGATCAATATTTCTGCAAGCTCCCTAGTTACAGGCAGCCTTAGACAGCAGTAACTAAGCATCGCTTCGAGTTTCCTGAAATACGAAAGATATTAGAATAAAGATGACTTTCGTTGTTCCTGAGTTGTACTTACAATTACTGCCTTTCTCGAATTCCTTGAGCCGGGCTAATTTGGTGGATTATCGTTGCTATGATGACTGCATGTCATTGTAGTAACATTCATTGTTAATCTTACATAACAATCTTTAACTATAAGATGCAAGAGAACTTAGCAGTGTTAGGCGACTTTTCCTACACTGACTACAATCATTTAGTCGGGGCAAATGCTTCGTACTGGCGTCGGGCTACTATTCGAGAGGCTAAAAAGAATCTGAAACTCTCCGACTTTTCAATTCTTGTTCAAACTGATCTACGATGAAAAGGAGCATCTTGATTGGTTTCCTGACTGGTCTAGATTTTGCAATGCGGACGGTTTGTTATTGGGTATAAATTTCATTACTCCATATTTTCTTACTCTTCCAGTAGCCTGAAAAATGCCAGTATACAATAAACCTAACTATTTGTGTGTGTTTTCCAAGAGTCCCTTCGAATCACTGGGATGCTTTTTTGCTCCACTTTAGGAAGTGTGGTCTCGTATTTGTTACTAGTTTATGGACCTTGCCAGTGGGAGGTGCGGTGGCCTCATGGTTAGTGAGCTCGACTATGGATTGACTGGTTCAGGTTAGAACCCAGGCCAGGGATATTGTACCGTGCTCTTGGGTAAAGATTTTACTCTCACAGTACCTCTCTAGACCTACCCTGTCAGCAGAGTCTCTCTCGATCTTCCTACAAAAACTTGGAAGATCCTTCCTCTTCCCAATTTTTCTAGGAAGATCAAAAGAGACTCTGCTCTACTCTTCACCCAGGTGTATAAATGGGTACCAGCCAATTTAATGCTACGGATAACCTTGCAATAGACTAGCATTCCATCCACGGGCACCAGAACAGAAATACTCCTTGACGCTTCATGGTAATGAAACTGGGGGAGATAAGCACCGGCCTAATGGGCCACTTGGCTAGTAAGCAGACCTTATTCTTAAAAGATTTTATTGAATTGTTACTTTTTTGCTCCATCTGGGGAATAGTGGTTTCGCATTTGATTACAGACCTTGCAAGATTATAGCCCTCGACGAAAAAAAAAAAAAAAAAAAAATTGAAAAAGTTAAAGATAAGTAACTCAGCATTTCCCTATTATGGACCTCACGATATCTCAAAATTCATCTTCTTTTCTGCATTTAGCCCAAACAAGTCTTTTACTTCTTCGTTCCTTCACAACTAGAATGAAACCAAACTAACATATAACAGTCCCTTTATTGTTTTCAATATTTTGCTAAGTTAAAGTGTCTTCAGATCTCAAGTATTCTCCAACATCAGCTTGATGGAAGCAGACGATATCAGTGGGATTAGCTCGGCGACAGTCCTGCGTTGAGCGGGCCGTTGCACCAAAACCCTGTAGGAAAAAACATTAACACCTTGATTGTTTGTAACTTATGAAAGTGAAAGAATTCCTGTCACATACAAGACTGCCATTCCACTGGCCTGTAAATACAGACAGATTTTCGCTGGTCATTTCAAGTTTCAGCACAGTGAAACGAGGCAAAAATATGGGTTTCCATACAGTGTTGTCATCACTTGATGTGATATTGCTTATGTCTGCTTATATACATAAAAACACTCCTCTGATTCATTTCCATTCAACTGCAAATTTATTTATAGTTCAATTAGACCTTTGCTTTGAATTGCCTCTGTGTCACTATAATTTATGCTTTGCTGTTCTTTAGTTTAATTCATAAATTTTATTCTTATTTACAAACTTTAAGATATACTGTAACTTTCTAGACAACATCAGTGGAACTGTTCAAAGACATGCAAGAACTTAATAATTAATAATGAAGCGTGTCATTAATTGCTCAATTAGTGGTAATCAAAGATTAGAGCAGTGCGTTTACATGCGTACTTCGCATGCTTGGTCTACTTTGGTGGCATTCAAATGGCTTGATAGACAACTAAGTTTGATCAAAAAAATCCGTCCCAAAAATTCTCGAGACAGACTGCATTAGGATTGCGTTACACTAGGTGAATGCAATTAATTGATCAACTAATTAACAACATAGCAGTGTTTTCTCACCAGTGGAAGATCATTCATGGAGTAAACAATAACACCTTGGTATTGAGGAGTGTTTTCTGTTATTCTCCCAAGGCCAGACTTCAAAATGTGATTTCCATACAAAAAAGACTGTTCTCCTGCTGGTTTCACCCAGATTTTATACTAAAAAGCAAGAAAATTTACTATAATTACTGGAGTAACTGCTACGTAGTTCTTTACTCACCACTTTCTCAAGAAAATCTGTCCTAGCTTTAAAGGAGCTATGTGATAGATAATGCATCCTAAAAATTAGTGGACAATTCTGTCTAATTTTACTCTTCCTTTGCAGGGATTTCATTAAGGGCCACACACTGGGCAAATTGACTCGCTAGCGGAATGTTTTTCTACAAAGAAGTTCATTCTAACAGTTTTGCCCGCCTGTGAAGACCAGTTACCCTCCTGCTGATAATGTTAATGAACGCCCTGCCTTTGTGATATGTCTCCTTGTTTTCTCAGTTACTATATCCATGGTGATTTTTCAATCTAGAAGGCCATATTGTACTGTGTGGCCCGCTAAAATTTGAAGCCGTTTTTGTTGCTAAAATGTCCTGACAATTTTCCTTTCATTCTCTAAAAATTTTGATGACATGTCTTAAAACATGCTAATGACTTAGCAACAATTCCACATTGAATCATTTTGCTTTTGATGTCTGTTAGTCATTTCAAGCGGTTCTGTGACTTGAGATGGTCTACTGAACTTGTCCAACAAGTATCTTCCCGATGTTATCTTCTTGGTCTGTGGTGTAAGTTACAGATCCTTGTTCTTCTTCCTTTTGATTCATGGCCCACAAGCTTCACACATGGGCCATAAATCATAGGGAAAAATTATTGTTTATCTTTACTGGAGGAAACATTACCTTGGCATAAGGTGCCATGAAATCAAGGGCTGTAATGTGAAGCCTGAATCGCCTTGTCTTTGTAAACTTGCCAATACATGTTCCAAGACTTACAAGGTTCTCTCTGGCAATATTGGTCGCCTTCCTCATGATCTCTTCACTGGAAACCAAATTATGATAAACATCAAAACATTTACACAATCACTTTATTAGGTTGGGATGGATCAGAAGGGTTGGTTTATTGTCCCACTGATTAAACAGTGTACTCAAAATGCAATCAACTGTACTGTATGGTCTGCTGCAAAGGTAAACTTTGCAAACTTAAATTGCACCTGGGATGAGAAGATTCTTGCGAGAGGGAAGAGAGGGGCAGGGATACTTACAGTCTCTTTTAATCGATTGATCGATCAATCAATCAATCAATCAATCAATCAAACGATCGATCGATCGATCAATCAATCAATCAACCTTTATTTTAAAACGATAGTTTTCAAAGCTACATTGCATTTTACGAACGGTATGTGTGGATTTTAGCATCATTGCAGGCCAACTCATTCAACAGACGTTCAAGCGAGTGCTTTCCTGTCCCCCCCAGAGTGTAAAAGTCACACACAGACCTTCTGGATACAAGAGTCATGCAAGAGATCATGTTTATAGCTATATAGGATAATAATTTACAAAATTATACAATTCTTTTGGCGATGACAAACTTACCTCACATAGTAAACTCGTTCATCGTGTAGTCTAAAACAGTAATTTCCATCTGGTCTGTCTATCAAAAGCTTGATGTTATCTCCAATACTAGAATAAATAGATTGAAATGGTTAAATTTGATGGAAAGCTAGATGATTCCCCCAGAAAGGCAATGTGATCGGATAAAACTGTCGTTATCTTGCAACGATAAGATTAAGATACTATGGAACTAATGAATTCTAAGTATGTGCTTACTATTTTGCTAGTTTTTCAAACACGCTTTGGGTTTCTTCTTCCGTCAAGGGCCTCATGTTTGAATTGTTTATAGTTTGCAATAGATTTTCACGTGGTTAGTGAAGGTTTTAATTTTCGTTTCGAAAATTGATTAGTCAGCGGCACCAACCAAAAGCCAGGTTACAATGTAGTTCCCCATAGCAACGCTTTCAATGTGAAGCGACTCGATTTCCAAAACAATAATGGCTTCCCGAATACAGATTAACAGGTCAAATTTTGTTACTTCAAATCGAACTCAACCCGCATAAACAACGCTAGTGTGTAATATAATGATTCCTCTAGACAGTGCTACAGCTATATTTCCCAGAATGCCTACTGGAAGGACCATACCTGGTGAATTTCCTCTGACAATTATCAAGCCTCCAGTGGCAGATGTCAAATGTAGGGCGAGTCCATCAGCAATTTCTAGCCCTATTTATCGCCTGTTACGGAGTAGAAATCAACGTAGAAATAGCTCAGCTTCATCTGCGCGTAGCTGTTGTAGCGTTAAGACTGAATACAAGCAGTTTTTGCCAGAGAGAGTTGATGTTTTTGAACTGAAAGATGCAACACGTCAAACTATGCAAGTTGAGTCTGTTTTGCATGGTCATGGCCGAAGCACTTGTACATTGCCTGACAACATCGATAAGTGCCAACAGAAATCAGCACCCTCAAGGCGGAGTAGTCTTGTTTCATCTGCCAAGGAACGTCTAGTTAGCCTACGCGACGAAACATTAGATGAAGGTATAATTATAACAACATAGATAAATAAATAAATAGATAAGTGATTTAGTGTTGACAAGTTAAGCTTATTATAATTGAAATAGCTAATATACCTAATACAAACATGCACCATTTCAGTTAATTCTCCCTACCTGATTGCTATATATTTCTGTTAACATTATAAACTCTAAGGATTTAGTGGTACATTGTATATCAAGACAATGAGCTCCCTAACTCCAGCTGTTGACAGCTGATGTACTTGGTGGCTTGACTGACCGGCCAGGTAGACTGTATATACAGTCCATATTTCATGCTGAGTAGTCTTCGTTGTCCAGTGACTGATTGTGTCGCAAAGCAAAATGTCAGATATTATCAGGTGGGAATGACAATATAATAATATTGGGTGCTCATATTTCATCAGTGTCTATGACAATAAGCCCTTTGTAGCTAGGCCATCACATGACCTACTTTTAATAAAATTATCAGCTATAACTAAAAGAATGCCAGAAATGGAAAAAGCATGTTGAAATTATCAAACTGGCCAAGTTTGAGGCCCCTGGCATTAAAGAATGAGATTTTATGACACAACAGTTTGAATTTTTAAAAAAATTAAAAAGATGTGTATGGAAAAAGCTGTTGCAGAGCAAGACCTTGCTCTCCAGCAACATCTCCCATAGGTATCCTCTACATTTTCCAAAAATTCCAACTGTTGTATAAACTTACTCTTTAATGCCAAGGCCCTCAAACTGGTATTTTCAATATGCTCTTTCCATTTCTGGCATTCTTTAAGTTATAACCCATAATATAAAAATACTCAAGCAAAAGTTTTGTCATGTGACCCCATCTGCAAAGGGCCTATTGACTAGTTATCAGTTGCACATGACAATCAATTGATACGTTGTAACCAAGCAACAGCTAGACAGATCTAGATACTGCATAGATCTCTGTAGAGCCACATCATCAGTACCAATATATTTGGAATTCTTCAGAAAATCATACTAATTGTATTTTATTCAGCTGTCTAATATGCTACATAATATTGTAGATGCTTCTGAAACATATGACAATGCAAAGCAGCTACAGGCACAAAGAATATTTTTCATGGAAATCAAACAAAATGAAAGCCTTACTGAGGTGGAATCTAAACAAAATGACAACTGCCCTGCAACGGAAGGCAAAGAAAATGATAAAGTTTCACTGGTGCAAACCCAAGAAGATGATGACTATATTACGACAGAAACCAAACTAAATGAGGATTGTCCTACACTCAAAACCAAACTGGATGAGAGCTTTTCTAGGATCAAACAAAATGAGAACTCTCCTAAAGACCAGGCTAATAAAAGGAATACAAAGAAATTACCTAAAGCCAAGAAAACTACTAAGAAAAGGAGAAACTTAGTGAAAAAATCTCCAGGAATGACTGGTATATTTTCAAGACTTGTTGGGACGCAAGGATGTAAGAAACACCAAGGTAATAAGCACGGTATATATGTAGCCATTGTGGTTAACAAAAGAAGATATTAAATAGAGTAGAGAGGCATTGCAAAATGGAACAATTTTTTTGAATGTTACATAACAGTTTAATCCTCTTTGTTACCTCAAGATAAAATAAAGAAAATAAATATCTTAACAGACCAGTTTCAAGTTAACTGAGACCAATAGTGACCTGCTGTTTTCCTGTTTTTGTGACTGTATATGTAATGTCTAATACTTTCTCTTATCAAATATATAAAATAGTGCTAAATGTTACTTTACAGCAAAAGTACTAAAAGTAATCATGGTCAAATTCTTTTTTACTTCTAGGTCAGCTACCAAATTCAAAACAGGCCGAGCCTAAGAACAGTTCACAACAGTCAAAAGACAATTCAAGCAAGTACCTCAGCATACAGAAACTACATGCAACTTATGCTCCAAAGAAAACTGACAACAAGAGTAATGCAGCTATTCTTTTACCTCAGGTGTCTAACAACAGTTTAACAACAGACAATAACTCTAGTCGTGTACATAGTACACCTTCTTCTCCAAGAAAACATCAGCAAGAACTGGAATTAAATGTTTCTGTAATTTCTCCACGGTCGTCACTGTCACAGAAATTATTGAACTCTGGAGATGAAAACGTGAAGAAAATTTATCTCTCTGATGCTCATTCTGGAATGATGACAGGAGTACCATGTGCTCCTCCATGCACACCTACAGTTGGTATGTAGTCAATGAACTTTTGGTTCCCTTACCAAGTGTGATAACTGGAGCTGCAGTCTCATTTTCTTGGGGTGGCAAATATATACATCTACAAAGGTCAAGTTGATAAAATCTCAAGATTACACACCAGTTAAAAAAGTTAAAAACACTAACTTAATCTAAAAACATTATTTTAAAAAAACATTGACAGATTAGAATTTAAACGATAATATAAAGAATTAGACTAAGAGGTTGAAACGTTCTCCATGGGGTTGCAGTTCCAGCCGGTGATGGTTCTTGGAAGATATGAATACTTAAAAATGTTGTTCTTAGCATATGGTATTTGACATTCTTAGCAGATGGTGCTTAGAAGATCTTTGGTCTAATGATGACAATATTTTCTGTTTTTTGTAATATATGAATTTGTATTATGCCTTGGAAGTCTGTCCTTAATAAATATCAATTGACTTGTTCTTTCCTGGTGTTTGTTGTTATTTTCTTGACTCTAGATGAACTGAAGAAAGTTGAATACATCCCTTCATTAACAGATGTCAAGGTACACATGCAAAAAAATTTCCACTGCCTTTTACATAAAAAAATGTCATATTCTTATTTTTAGCTTTAAAATCGAAGTTTCATTTTCTACCATTCAGTAGGATCTTACTTGATTATATTAATTGTGTTATGTTTCATTACAGAGCCAAAGAGCTGTTAAAGCAAGGCTTGTTACATTGGGTAAGCTGGCACTTTCTAGGAAGCACAATAGGGATCTGGTCTCAGCTACAAAAATTGTAGAAAAAATTGGATCACAACTAAGAAGTTTCTTTCCCTGAAACGTTACTTGTACTTCATAATTGATAATGAGAAACATTTATGCATTGCCACTGATCAGAGAAACATTTTAGCCAAAAGAAATTTCAGCTTGTTGCTTAGATGTAAGGTAACTAGCAGCACTAAATTGTCTATGGTTCAATGAAATACATGCATGTTTGTAATATTACAAAATAATGAGGTATGCCTTTGTGTACATGATTTTTTAGTTTGGTATCAACGTAGTATTAACTTAATCATCACTTTTTACTGGTCTAGGAAATAAAATTAGAGCTGACGAACAGAAAAAGAAGGAAAAAGCTGCAAAAGAGGAACAGAAAAGAGCTTATGGTGCTATTTTACAGCTTAAACAAAGACAGCGAGCTGAGGTACCATCATGTTATAATAAACTTTACTCCAAAGTGGATTAAATAGTTTGAAATTATTGATCTTATGGGTTCTGAATAATTCTTTTGAATAAAGCCATTGGATGTACAGCAGCAATTTGTCAAACTGCTGATGGCACTGCAATATTTCTTTTTGGTTTGATGTTGACTTTAATCATGTGACCCAATTTTCCAAAAGATGAGTCCGTTGGTGATGAATTTGGAAAATCTATCCAAAGCAAGCTCAAAAGTGCCAGGAATTTGGCAAAATTAGGATTTTAGGTTTTTTTGTTAAACCATTGACTCCTGTGCTGGCCTTAACCGGCCGTGACGAGCCTTGGCCTTTCTTCCACTTCTGTCGTCATCACTTTTGACCAAAATTGGCATCATCCATGCTCACTTCTGCAGGAGGAAAAGATCTTTCCAATGATACCCAGATCAGAGTGTTCAGCCCAATGGAGCCTGAGATATGCACAAAAATGTTCAAAAAGTTGAGTGAAAAGCTCAGAGCAAAATTCCCTGCAACTACACGTGGCTACTCCATGGCCAAAACAGAGATTTAAACCCCTTTTGAAGGAAAATAGGGAGACTCTTTTAGTGCCAAAGGCGGCAGCCTCTAGGGGGGTCCGGGGCCATGCTCACCAGGAAATTTTGCAAATTTAGATTTTCTTAAATGCCTTTTCCTGCATTTTGGAGCTGCTAAATAGAGTAAGACTGCTGGCCTGATGAGTCTGCACAACACATGGCGAGAGACTGGGTGAGATGATATGAGAAGAAAGTGTAATACATTGCAAAAAAATACTTAAGATTAGCATTTTTCCCCTTGTTTTCACAATTTTATTATAAATCAGGAGAATTTGATAAGAATTGGGAGAGCGGGAGGCAACACATCAGATCGGGAGTCTCCCAATCAAATTGGGAGGGTTGGAATCTCTGCCAAAATTGCCCGTCTCAATGATGCTTTCTCAGAATGTTTTAAACTGGAAGCAAGCCCAGTTGAGGGTCAATCACTGCAGCAAAAATTTTGATTTCTGCGCATACCCAAGCAAAAATGTCGTAATAAGCGATGCTAGTGGAAAGAAAGGCATGCTGTCATGTTGCAAATGCCTTTTTGAGTAGATTGGAGCTAATTTGGCCCATATCCAGCCTGAAAATCTCCAAAATGTCCAAAAGATGTGTTTTTGGCAAAAAGCTCCAGGAGTCAATGGGTTGATGTTGACTAATTCTGGTCATCTGCTTCCACAGATTTATGCTCTGAACAAGGTGATGACAGATCTGGAGAATGAGAACTTTAGAAAATTCATGGAAGAACATTCAGCTGAAACACTTCCTGTGTAGTGATCAGTAACTTTCAGTTCTCTGTTTGTCCAGCATGCTAACTGCTCTTCTGTCTCATCCACTAATTCTTCATCATAAAAAAACAATTTTAAATTTAACAGGTAGAATGACAGAGTTAAAACAAACTATTATAACAAAATATAATTGTTGAACATTACCTTTTCTTAATAATATTAATCCTGTTACATCTTCCTGAAGGACTTTGTTTTAGATTTGCTTGCCTACTAGATGTTCTGACTTATAAACAAGTCTCTCTCAAGGTTTACCTCACAGTACCTTTTGTTGACGATGTTTTCTTTTTTTCTACTTCACCCACATATTAGTTACTGACATTTTGTTGCATATGTAATGTCCACTGTCTGACCAAAATGAGACATGAAGATCAAACACCTAACCTCACTACTGCATAAACCTCCATCAAAAAAAAAAAAAAAAAAGAAAAAACTTTAATTAGTAAGTTTTAAAATTATGGTACAAAACCATAAATTTGTCACAACTGGAAGATCTTTATATAGCAAGGGAGATAATGTTAGTGTGATGACTGAAACAGATATTTTCAAGAACAAGTAGGTAGTTATATACTCTTGGGAAGTGCTTTCTAATGAAAAAAAAATCAAGAAACTAATTTTTGTTTTCAGGTACATGACTATAAAATTTTGGGTACTTAAATGCAAGGTAGCTAGGATTTGGTTATCAAATGAGTAATATTTTGGATGTTGACTGCTCTACATGTAACCTGGTCATCTTGATTGATATTTAATAGCAATTATTTCTAGAATTTTACAACATTGTTGCACAGATCTCTGAAAATATGGCAACTGAAACAAAGTACAGAGTGTCGTGCTTAATTAAACTCTGAAATATTTAGTAAAGAGATCTATTTTTTATATTTATAATAGATATTTATATGGTATGAAATACAAACATAGTAGACGCTTTCTTGAGAATGAAAGTTAGGTATTTACAGTGTTATTTAGCATATGTTTTACTGAAGAGGTCAAGAAAGCACATCATCATGCATGTACTGTACATGTAATGTTTATATATATATGCATTTTTCAAACATTCTAAGGTCATTATATCAAAATAAAACACACAAATGTATCAGATAATTTTTTTTTTATCACAGTCCTTTGTGTTGGTCTAGAAAATACCCATTTCCCTCACACAGAAGGGTTTTTAGCGTGAACCCAACTCCCACCTCACTGGAAATTTCAGTATACTCTGCTTCATAGTTTCCATTCGGTCAGTATAAAACACAGACTGTGGACTGCAGACTGCAGACCGGGACGAAATGCAGACTGAGGGTAAATTGCAGACTGCAGACTACAGACATTTTAAGTACCAGGTATATATATGTCGTGCTACTTCCATTATCGAGTCTGTGCTGACCGTAAACAGGGTTATTCAGGCTAATGGCAGTGAAAGTCTGCACTCTGGTTAGCCTAAATAATGCGCCGGTTGGTCTGTTACGTAAGCTCTCAGTGATGGAAAAGGTAATGTGATTTAGTTCAAAAGTTTACAGTCTGCAGTCTGCATTTTACCCCTGGTCCACAGTCTGCATAATTTTTCCCCTGGTCTGATGTCTGCAATATGCATTTTACACTGACCGGTTGCCATTGCAGTCTGCAGTCTGCATTTTACACTGACCGGTTGCCACTGCAGTCCACAGTCTGCATTTTACACTGACTGGTTGCCATTAAATAGGTTGAAAGTCAGTCAGGATTCCAAACATTTACTGTTTGTGTTTGTTTGTCCCAGTCAAGATGGCGTCAATATTCAATGGTAATTTAGCTATTATCATTAATTTCTCTGCTGTCAGAATATAATTTGTCTGCTTGCTAATTAAATAATAAAGTTCATTTATAGCGCTCAGCAAATCACTTTGTGGAGCCTGGATACTTTGACAATTATGGGAAAAAATTCCTTATCGACAATTAATATAAACACCAAACGAAAAAAAGAATACACAATTGGCAAAATAAAAAGATGTTACACAACTGTTCAAATAGATTATGTACCTACATAGAAACACAACACCATTAATTTTATCAACTCAAGCAATATTTAAGTGCAAATGGCTCACCTGAATCATTTTATAACCCTATCAAATTCCAGCCATTTAACTTTGACTCGACATCGGGAAACCACATTTTTCAGCAGTGTTCAATATTTTATATTCCCGGGTAAATTTAGCCATTGCAGATGTTTTTCTAACACAGCATTCGATTGGACAATTTTGAGCTATGCGACCTGGCGAAAGAAAATAAACCAATCACAGGATTGGTAATATAAGTTCAGGTCAACAGCCTCGCTTGCATGCCATCTACCAACGCCCCTGGGAGACGACCAAAATATTGCCTGGGTGTAAATCGTGGAATTCGAAGAAATAGTGGAATAAAAACCGACTTTGCTGTGTTTTTCGCGTATGAAAGGTCTTCAAATTCCATAAGTGATAAGTAAGTATGTCATTTCTTGTTATTAGTAAATCATCGCCGCTACCTGTGGTTTAAAATAAGACCGGCTTATGGCCATAGTGTTTGCGAAATGGTTGGCCGATCACAAATTTGTTTTTCTACATACACAGCTTGGGATATTTGGCTCTCTGCTTCTTGTGGTGATCGTAGTTTTTGTGTGAATTCGTAAGGGAGATGTTATTTCGGGAATCACTGTGAAGTGTAGATCGAGCTTGTTAATCGATGCTCCAGTATGCAGGACAAGAGAACAAATTAACTGGATATCTTGTTTCATAATTAACTGAGGTTACAAGTAGGCTTATATTCGGTTTGTTAGGCCCTGTTTTACCGGCGCCTATTCAGTGCTAAGGTTTCTATGCTGCTTTCATGTGTTGTCAAGTTGTACTGACATATCTATTTGGACATGACTACCCTATTTTGGAAAATTAACTTGCCATTTTAGTTGGGGTATAAGAGGTGAGTTGTAGAGTTTCCCTAGCTCACAGTTGGCCAGAAGAAAATTCATCGCTTATTTGGGTTATAGACCATACACCCCTCACTAATGGACATGCCATGATAACAGACTGTAGGTTGTCTTTTATGTAAGGTAGATGTCTATGTTTTGTAGGATTTTTTTTATAAGAATTTTGACGAAAAATCGAAACAAAATTGACAGCTGCCTATGTTTATGTAGCTTCCTGCTACTAATAAACAGTTTTATAAATATTTTAAAAGTCAGTAATTTCTTGAATGTTATAGACCTGACACTGGGATCCTAGAGGTAATAGCTGGTGCAATGAAATAAGAAAGGGATTGACCAATCGATTGGACAATTGATTGCAATATTTGATGCAACATGTTGCAACTTAATATTGTTGGGCGCAACATGTTGCACGTGTTTGGCCACCTTGTTGCAATGTGTTGCAACATGTTGGGTGTTGTTGGCTCAAATTTAACCATTTTCAAACTTGAGCCTATACCCAACGTGTAGCAACAAGGTGGCCAAAGACATATGGCATGTTGTGCCCATAATGTTGTTGCAATATGTTGTGGTGAAATGTTACAATCGTTTGGCCGGGACTTAATATTTCCCATTATTATATGGCTGTATCTCACAAGGACTGGGAACTACCAGATTGACGAATTTGATTGGCTGAAATCTACTTGACAGCGGTCTTGATTTTCTCATCTAGACCGCCGTCTAGACTGGTTACATTTTGCGGTGAAAAAGTTACAAACTAAAATACAAAAATATTGACTAATTTCCTCTAAAAATATCAGTGGAAGTGCCAAAAACCCCAATGAGAAAAGAAAAGTCGAGAGGACGAGCAAACTTTGGCAGATTTAAGCTCAGCTCATCGCCGTTTGCAAGCAAAATGTCGGCTAGTACAAACCAGTTTCATTAAACAAATTAAATTTTTCTCGTTTTGCCGTATAATAAAAATTTTACTCAAAGATCGTAGTCAGTCTCTATAAGAGATTATTATATGGCTGTGTCTTACAAGGACTGAGAACTACCGAATGCATGAATTTGATTGGCTGAAATCGATATTGACCACGGTCTAGATTTTCCCATCTAGACTGGCGTCTAGCCAGACCGGTTTCATTTTGCGTTTACAAAGTAGCAAACTAAAATACAAAAATGTTCACCATTTTCTTTTATTTTCTTCTCAATCATTTATGGAAGTGCCAGAAAGCCTGATGACAAAAAAAGAAGTAAAGGGGACGAGCAAATTTCGGGAGGTTTAAGTTAAGTTCATCGTCGTCTGAAAGCAAAATGTCAGCAAACCAGTGACATTAAACGAATTAAAGTTTTCTTCTTTGCCATATAATAAACATCTTATTAACCGAGCTAAGTTGGTCTGTATGGGAGAATCTTGACCTCGGTCGTGTGTACAGACCTCACTGCGCTCGGTCTGTACTCACGACCTCGGTCAAGATTCTCCCATACAGACCTCCTGCTCGGTTAATAAGAGCTAAATCTTGACCTTGGTCGTGTGTACAGACCTCACTGGGTTGGGTCTGTACTCACAACCTCGGTCAAGATTCTCCCATACAGACCGCCTGCTCGGTTGATAAGAGCTAAATATAATCATTAATGCACTTATGAGAATATATTGCCTTGGTCAATGCATCACAGAACTCTGAGAAATGTGAACTTGAAGACAAAAAAATAATACACCAATCTCTCAGAATGACTCACATTTTGAGTGTGATGCAATATGCATTCAACCATTAAATTTGTTGGTTTATTATAATTTGTTATAACTTTTCACTGCTTTTGAGAAGTTGCAAGGATTAGACTCTCAAATTTTAATGTGTGTTTTAAAAAGTTCTGATAACAGTTCATTTTATTTTATTTTTAGGGCATAACACTGTGGCCAGAACCTTTATAAGTCCTCATACCTTTGTAATATGCAGACAATAAAGTGTGTTGTAGTTGGAGATGGGGCAGTGGGAAAAACCTGTTTATTGATTTCCTACACAACAAATAAATTTCCCAGTGAATATGTACCGACGGTAAGTTTTCTGTTCTCAAAGAGCCAAAGTTTCAGTTAAGAGTTTTAACCTGAGTTTAGGTAAATTACTACTGGGTAATTACTTGCTTTTTGTATAAGCATTGAAAAAGATGCGATGTTTAGTATACATCTGTTGAGTCATAGAGTGATATACACAGTCAACTCTTGTCAACTCTGGGACGTTGTTTAGTGTCCATTATAGTGAGAGTCCATGATAAATAACATAGACAATGTCTGTGAAGCAAGGACTATTGTGCAGACAAAAAAAGAACTTATCTGAAAATAAACATTCCAGAAGTTTTTTGATGTGTATTTTGACAAATGATGAACAGCAGACTGTAATTTTACATAAAGGAAGGCTTTCGTGCAAAAAGGGCGTATATCGCTTTTAGGACCGATTTTTATTTTTTGCAGGATTGAGCTAATTTTTGGCAGACTGACTTGTTTTGACATAAAAAGCATCATTCTGTAATTGTTTTTGTTGATTTGTGCTTCGTTTTTGAGAAATAACGTATGCAAAAAAACTCACTTTTCGAAGTGGCGGCGAATCCTTTGAAGGTTGATTTTGACGCAACGTGAACTTAAATGGTTACTTTAAGCAGCTTCAACAGCATGGATTTTTTAAATAGATGTTTTTATTTTTGAAAGAAGTAGAGAAATAGACCAGGAAAAAAAATCAACCGACTTCATATCAAACTAGTGTCATGACAAAACAAACTCGAATCTGGCCTGTTCAGCGCCTTATTCGCTTGCGCTAACAAAGCAACAGTAAGAGATTAGCATAATTATATGAATAATAAAACTCGTATTGGTTCGAACAACTAGTGGCAAATGCCACACATACATACAGTAGCATGAGTTTAATAAATCGATAAAATATATAAACTTGCACGCAAAAGAAAATGTTACTATCCAAATGACCAATATTTATTGTAAATGAAATAACAGCGTATACCACAAATTTAATAACTGGAACAGGCAGCTACATAATTCGTCTTTACAGCTGGTGGAATTTCGCCAGCTGCTGGCTTCTCCTGAGAACTCTTGAGTGCTTGCCATTTTAAAGCAGGGGAAAAAATATGCTAAGTGTGTACCAACAGGAAAATGGACATTGAAGATCAACCTGCAAAGTTGGAGTGCATGCATAAACTGTAAAAACAACAGCCACTGCAAAAAGAGCAAAACTTATTAGAGCCATGACTATGAATGTTGGGTTTTTCTTTCCAACCACGCAGATTAAACTTCACTAACACATCAAGAAAGTGCTCCACAATTTTGGCCATCGGTTTCATTCTTGTGAAAGAGATCCTGATCTATATTGAGATTGAATATTACAAAGCGCCTTGAATTCAGCTATTAATGTGTATTTTAACATTGTGCACTCAAGCCATTTATTTCTCATATTCACCCTCTCATAATGTGAGGAATTTTACCTTCCAGGTATTTGATAATTATGCTGTTACTGTTATGATTGGGGGTGAGCCCTTCACATTAGGACTGTTTGATACTGCAGGTTAGTTCACCATTACTGCAAGGTAGATAGATTTGATTGTATGCATGCTTTATTTCACAAATATGGTCCTCTTATACAGACATACATACATGTATACAGATTTCAATTTAGAATCAATCCAAAACTCAACATTTTATGCACTTAAATTTCACAGTGCCGCAACTCACATTATTTATGATTNCGGACTATTTACCGAGGTCCCGACGAGTCCGGATAATCGAGGTTCGACTGTAATTTGTTTCCATTTTTATGTGTTTAGTAAAATGCATTATCCATGCATTTGCAATAACTCTAACACACCTATGAAAAGAATTTCCATTTGGTCTTCTGACCTTACACACTAATACTCAATGCATCTGTTTTTGCTTTCATGAACTCCTATCTTCAATAATATTGGACATTATTCTCTCAATATTTTATTGCCTTCTCTAGGCCAAGAAGATTACGACAGACTGAGACCCCTCTCCTATCCTCAGACAGATGTTTTTCTTGTGTGTTTCTCTGTAGTGTCACCATCTTCATTTGAAAATGTCAAAGAAAAGGTAAAATACAATTTGAAGTTTCTCTGTGGTAAATTAAATTATTGTGGTCAGTTTTTAACTCAAAAGATCTAAAGGGTACATTATGAAGCAATATTTATTATTCATGTAGGTAAGATTACTTTTAAATAAAATGGCTTTTAGGGAGGAATGATGTTTTCTTAGAGACACAGTGTCATTTAAAATGGGTTAAAACACTTGCTACAGACTAGAGGACAGAAGTGAACAAAACAAACTGTGCTATGTGGTGGTTATCTTTAACAGCCCTCTGGACACAACCAGGCCCTGAACTCAGTTAATTCAATTCTGTTATTTTACTTTTTTTTAGTGGGTTCCTGAAATTACCCACCATTGCCCAAAGACACCATTTTTGCTGGTTGGTACCCAAGTTGACTTGAGGGATGATGCTGGAACAATAGAGAAACTGACCAAGAACAAGCAGAAGCCTATAGCTGTTGAGGCTGCGGAGAGACTAATTCGTGAGTTGAAAGCCGTTAAGTATGTAGAGTGTTCTGCGTTGACACAGAAAGGCTTGAAAAATGTCTTTGATGAAGCAATTTTAGCTGCACTGGAACCTCCAGAACCACAAAAGAAGAAGATCTGTTCTTTGCTTTGAGAAATGGATAGCTCAGAGGGAATGAGATACGATATTAGACATTTTGCCACCTGGATTTAAAATTTCAGAGGTTTGGGATGTTTCCTAAACATTACTGTAGAACAGGAATCTATGACATCTGAAACAATATACTTGCAGTAAAATGTATCATGCTTACTGCCACTCGGTGAAGTTCTTGATTAATCACTTTTGACATCTATAGCTCTTTACATATCCATAAGCTGATTAATAATGTGTGTTTTTGGCACTTTGATGGTCCTGGAAGTTTGCAAAACCAACAGGAAATTTTCAAAGGTTTTAAAAAGGTACCTCTGTTCTATCAGGGAACTTAAGCGAACCATGATGGCAATGACAACAAAAATATCACCAAACAAAAGGTTTGATGAGCAGAATAATGGCTATGCACCTGCATTTTAAAATCTTCTTACATTTCATAGCTGTCCACTGCAAAGCAACAATTTGAAATGACCAAGTTTTGCGTATTTTGGAGAACGTGGGCCATGACAGCAAATTTTTGTCTTTTGTTTTGGAATTGATCGCCTACATTACATATTTAGTTTCAGCAGGTTTTCAGACTAATAAAGGGGTACTGAGCAGATTCAGATAGTTACGAAATTTGAGAGTAAAATATCAATCCATTTCTTACTAGGCATTGTCCCTGGTGTCGCCATCATCATAGCTTAAGGTCTCTAATGTCAAGGAGGATGAGAAGGATGTTACTCGGAATTTAACAGTGGCTTCAGTCTGTTTTTCTATCCCATTATATATAACATTATTTTGTAAAGTGCATTTTATTATAGTCTTGAGCGATTAAGTTTCCCAATTTGCTCTTGATTAGAAGTCTCGTTTTGTTCAGTGAAACAACTGAAGGCAAACTACAAAGCAGCTGAACATGGCACCAACCTGACAAACTCATCCTCTATTTATCTAAATAATTGATAGTACCTTTACAAGGTAATTTTCACATGTTTTTTACAGTACATTGATCCGAGTCAAGGGCGTTTCCTGGCGAGGGGATGGATGGTAGAAATGACATTTTTATGAGCTCAGTAAAAAAATATATGTGTACCAATATGAGCTTCAATGAGATCCATGGATGAATCAATGCGAAGACAGGCATCTTCAACTATCCGCTTAATTAAGTAAAAGTAAAGAATTTACGTTTATTTAGTATTTCTTCACCAGTTTTACATATCCTAATTGCCTCTTTTTGGAGCTGTGAAGAGGATGGTAAGACAGTGTAATACTGTCATATAGCAGCAATTTTTAACTTTTTAACACAGTTGCTTTATACGAAGAGTTCTGGATACCTATATTCAGTGACAGAAGAAAAAATAAATAAATGAATAAAAACAGTTATAAGTATTTTTAAATGAAATTATATACATAGAGTTTATTAATAGCATAACAAAATATCATAATGATATGTAAATTTTTAAATTAGGCCATTTTACATTTTTGTATCATATTTCGTAGTCTAAAGTACTGAGGGGTACAGAAATGATGCTAAAAGTTGATGATGAAGTTTTGAAATTTAAATGTGAAGTATATAAAGAAAATTGGTAATTTAACAAATAAATATTCTTTGTTTGGAGAGTTGATAGACTACTGTTAGTACATTCTCATCCTCAGTGGCCACGCTCCGTTTGGTCAGCACCAAGAATCGCGATCTTTGGGCTGGTCCAACACTACATGCCCATAATTCATTGACTTCCCATCAAATCTGACAAATTTGATTGGCTGAGAATACGAAACGAATACTCTGCACATACTCAGAAAATCGGGTCTGGCCAGAGGTCGCAATTCCTGGTGCTGACCAAAAGGAGCATGGCCTAAGGGGACGAGAATGCTGTTAGTAATGATCTGATTTAGCTTTTGGTATGGTGCTTTTGCATGGAAATTTTAGAGCTTAAATTTTGAAAAGGCGGGGGAGGTGCTAAATTGTATCCTAATTTACATAATATGTTGATAATATGAAGCCTGAGAACTGACAGTTTTGTTGTCATGTGAGCTAGATATATATATAGGTATGTTAGGGGCATGGGTTACCTTTTGCCTCTATTTCAATGTCCTGATCTGATGTAAATCTTTGACTCCAAAGCAGTGCAGAATTTTACAGTCACAACTTGTGGGCCATATATAGTTCATGTGTGGTGGAAGGCTGTGCAGTTAGTGTTGACTCCCTTTGGCTCTTGCAATACCTTCATGTGTCATTTCAGTAGCCAATTACATTTGTATGCACATTGGAGTTCCCAAACAAAGGAAATTTTTAATATTTCTCCTTTGGGAACAATGATTCATGTATTGTCCATCTGCAATGATTAATTTTTTTCAGTTTGAGAACAAGTTATATGGCTGTAAAAAAAATCCTTTTATGGATCCCAGAATCAAGAACTCAGCCTTTTTGCAGTGTAAGCCCAGAGCAATAAAATCAGCAAAAACTTGTGACGATGTTTTCCTATGAAAAAGTGATTGTCTATTGCCAGGGCGTCATTTTGCCAGTTGGTGTGGAAAAGGAAAAACTTCCATTTTGCCTTTTGGGCAGGGATCATAATTGATGCACGCTCAGCTGCACAACAAAGATAAGGAAGTGAAGTAATCCAGACAAATTTCTTGCTTTATATTCTGTGGTAAATTTAGAAGTTGCAGCACAGTTTTATAACGAAGATGACCATTGGACAATTCCCAGCGATGCGACCTGGCCTTATTAAAGTGAACCAATGATATTACACAACAGAATTCGCTCCATATAGCCTCGTTTCTATGCTGCATCGCTACTCGAGGGCCCCCTACCAATTCGTCAACCAACGCCCCTGGAAAGCCGGACATCTCGTTGCAAAAGTGGAATTCATGGAAAAAGCGGTAGTTATATAGTTTAGATACCCGCTCCTCTTACGACGTTTGTAGGGCATATAAGGCGTCAAAACGCAATAACCGGTAAGTGTTGCATTTCCCTAGTTGTATATCCTTCTCCATAACTATTTTTGCCCTGATAAATTCGTTCGCTTCGATTTTTCTCGCCATAGTCCGCCATTTCTTGCGACATGAATGGCAACGATATTCTTTGATGATCTCACTCTTTCGCGAGGTTGCGAGAGATTGATCAACTCGGAGGAATTTTAGCAGCCAGAAAAAGATAGCTGTAGGGATGTTATGATGTGACAAATAGTGTAAGTATTGAAGTGGAGTATTCAACGTCCTTCATTCCATCGGAGTGGTATCGTCGGCCTTTGCATTGAGATTCTGAAGTTGTGAAACTTTCATTCATTGTATTCAAACGTTATTCGAGCAACATTTTTGTGTCAGTACTGTAACAAGGCAGGCTAGTGACTGACGAACATCTTCATTGAGAGTGAAGTTAATCCAGAGAAAGCACATTTTCTAGATAAGCTCAAACCTTCCTACACTCTAAGCGCATATTTTCTTCGCGGTTTGGTTCGTTCTCGGCCTATTCAAAATTCATGACTATATGACGAACAGGAGATCTCCGTTTTTGCGGCATACTACAGCGATACAACGACCCTTCATACTTCTCGAAGCGAACTTTTGCTGTCTTGGTTCATGTTTGTAAATCTATATCGAAATATGCCGGGGCAAGCGAGTAGTTTGTTGACGCCTGTCATACGAAGTCCTAATCATATCGAATTTTATACTTTCAGGTTTTTCACATTGGCCGAAGACCGTAAAATTTCTTATATTGTAGCAGTATGCAAACCATAAAGTGTGTTGTAGTTGGGGACGGAGCCGTAGGAAAAACCTGTTTATTGATTTCCTACACAACAAATAAATTTCCTAGTGAATATGTACCGACGGTAAGTTTAGTGTTAGAATTATTTTTCACGTTTCCAATAATTAAAGCTTACACCTTTCGTATTTTGATGGTAGAGGTTTCAAACTTGTCGGCTTTTTGCTGATGTTCATTTTAAGTTTTCAATTCTGCGAGAATGTTATATTTTGAACCAAAAATTTATTTTACTGGCAACTGAACTTTAACTGAATGTAATTTTGAGCATACTTTTAATGACTACTTGTTGGAACTGGGCAAGGATTGTATCCCAGTATTTTGATTTTCGTCTCTTCCTGTAAATACACCATTTTATTTTTACCTATTTACGTAAAGGGCGAAGATGAAAAATATTTCACTTTTTATGAAATATTTGGTAGTGTTTTAATGATGCAGTTCATTTCGCCAGAGGGCTTATCTTGTACTTTATCATAATGATTTCAAGTGCAGTAGCTTAACATATGGTCGCCCATTTTCAACAAGATTTACATAGAGATATGGGGAATCTTGGAAACAATTTTTTCCAAGATGGTAGTAACAAAAGCAGGTTGCTGGAAAACTTGCATTGGTGTTAAAATATTGCTTTTATGACGCATCACCCCTGTGGGAAGATTAATTTCATTGTTTGTTTGAATGTATAGTTTGTTGTGTGTAATGTGTTGTTATGGAAAACTTATAAGTAAAGATATCGTGCATGGCATGTTGGCACTCATTTCTCTAAGAAGGCCATGTGTGTGAATTCAGATATCTGTTGTGCATTTGACAGTTTTGAATTGTGGTTAAAATAGCTTTAAAAGCTTCTTGGTTGGTTGTAAGATAAGTAAACTGTTAGACAAGCCGGTAATGTCTTTGTTTCTCTGATGTGTCTATTTTGCATTGGCTCCATATGTTTATTGATATTGATTAAGAGTGGGAACATGATCTAAACTCCATTACTTTTGGGTAAATTCATTTAGACCCTGCCTGCTTCAGTATACTTGACAATAAATTTTATCTTAAAGGAAACCCCAGTATTTGCTGTGAGAATCTTGGAACTGGAGATATTTCTAAAAAGTCCAAAGTCGGAAAGCCTGCTATGCTAAGTTTACAATCATGTCCTTGATACATGTTGTTTTTCACCTGGTAGTGCAATCCATGTGATAATTGTCATTCATTTCACCAATTTGTTCTTCTTTGCATTTTTCATCCTTAACGTCCTGTATTTTGTTAACCACTCTTAGCTTATGCAACTTAGTAATGATGGTCAAGGCAAATGATTTAGTGGCAATCATGGAAATATCACCAGTTTTTATCTCTGTGTGAAGAAACTTTGATTAGGATTATGAAAATTTTGAATCAGTTTTGATTTTATGTTAATGTTAATAATGACATGTACTGTAGCGGGTATTGCACATTCACTCAATACTTTGAACTACCTTTGTCTAACTCTTAATTCCCAAGGTCAGTTTTAAAATGTTCTGTAAATAATTTAATGTTTTCCTTGGGGGATTTGAGAAGCTAAAATTTCACCCAGTAACTGTAACAAGTACTACCTAAATTAAGTGATAAAAAGAACATGTAATCAATTTTACTAATCGTCATGCTCTGTTTATTAGTAAGCTTGTCATTTGGAAGAAGAGAAAGGCTTGCCTAAAATCTGTTGCACTCAAACTTTTCCACCAATATGTAAGAAGGAGACTTTTTCTCAAGAGATGGAATCATCATGCAATGCATTCTTCCTTTGTAGTTTATGGATAATGGTTTTTGTTCACTTTCTTTGTAGGTATTTGATAATTATGCTGTTACTGTTATGATTGGTGGTGAACCTTACACATTAGGATTGTTTGATACTGCAGGTTAGTAACTTTGTAAGAGCTTGGTCAAGCATGTATATTGTCGGTAGAATAAGACCTATATAATGATTGTCACGCTAGAAATCAACATGTATTTTATTAGTTGTATTAACTGCTGTTTGATATGCCTCCCAACCAGCTACAAACATTTTACTTTCGAGTTTACATTGAAACAAAGGCCTTGGTTATTTTACCATTCTCTTCCATGGTGAGGTTGCCATGCCTGGCCAATACAGCCACTTAAACTTGAGGAAAGATCCCCCTCAAATTTACATTGTAGCTGATTGTGGAATCAACCAAGGCTTCTCTGGTCTAACTGCATGGAACATGACTGATCCTTAGGAAAGCAGAAGTGAAAAAGCATTATTTTTGTTCCATTGCCTTCGGGTATAGTTCTAAAAGGTTTTGTCACCTGTCATGTTTGACTTCAGGCTATAGTATACTTAAGTTGCTGCTTATGATCAGTCATTTGCATAATTTCTTCTTTTTATAGTTATTTCAATTTTGTTAGAATCTACAGTACCATTTAAACCACCTTAGAGATGTAGTTTACAATTTAGACCTTAAGTCATGGGCAACCCACCAAGTTAGTTTTCAAAAATTGTTTTTGGCCAGAGTGCAGGAAAGAAACCACATTTACGACACTTTTGACTATTTGGTAATTAATTGCTGATGCCTAGAAAAAGTGTGTGTCATCTAATGAATTGTTGTGTTGGGAAGTAATATTTGTTCACTTTTATACTATCATTTTTCCTTAACAGGTCAAGAAGATTACGACAGACTGAGACCCCTTTCCTATCCTCAGACAGATGTTTTCCTTGTATGTTTCTCTGTAGTGTCCCCGTCTTCATTTGAAAATGTTAAAGAAAAGGTAAGGTGGCATTTTCTTTGTTCTACTTTCTAGTGATAATTGGATTTTGTGATATTCTGTTAGTTGGTTGGTTTTGTCTTGTACAAATAAATTTTATCAAAGGTAGTTTATCTTGGTTTAATTTCTGTTTTAGTGGGTACCAGAAATCACTCATCATTGTCCAAAGACACCTTTTCTACTTGTTGGTACACAAGTTGACTTGAGGGATGATGCTGGAACGTTAGAAAAACTGTCAAAGAACAAGCAGAAACCCATAGGTAATGAGGGTGGTGATAAGTTAGCACGTGAGCTGAGGGCTGTGAAATATGTCGAATGCTCTGCATTGACACAGAAAGGCTTGAAAAATGTCTTTGATGAAGCAATACTAGCTGCACTGGAACCTCCTGAGCCAGCAAAGAAGAAGAAATGCACATTGCTTTGAAGGACAGACTGTTAAATAATGAGGAAAGAACACTTGCCATCTTGATTCAAATGGACAAGATTTTGATTCTCCACACACGAAAAATAGTACTTATTCAGATCTGGAATTTATCAAGTGTGGATCAAGTGTACTAAAGAGAAAATAGCTGTATAGGATATTACTAGCAATTACTGGGAGGAATTCAGAAATAAGTTCTGTTTGCTAGAAAGTTTAAAGTAAAGGAAAAAGAACACATCTTGAGCTCCCAAGGGACAATTCTTTGTCATATGAGGACAGTCTTGTGGCTAGGTTGAATCTTTCGCTCAACCTCATTCCTGCTTTACTAGCAATGAAATACTGACAAAAAGTAAGTGCATGTAATTCAGAACTTTTGAACTTGTTAGGATATATTTTTGCATGGTTCAAAGGGGAAAATAATTTGAATAGCTATTTGGATAGCAAGATCAAAAACCCCTAAAAGCCACAGACTTCTGGCCTCCTTGTACATTTGTGTAAACAGTCATTTCTTCTTAAAATATATTGAAATTATAGAGGAATGGAAAATGTTACTTTGACTGCAATATTAATTTCTAGAACACTATTTGTAGCCACTATGTGTGACCAGTTTTTGTGTTCCAGAAAATATCTATACCCCAGCCTGCAGAGCGTTTTTTGGTCTGAACCTGCCATCTCTCTGGAAATTCCAGTTTTGGTTCATACTTTCCTTTAAAAATGTTGCCTTTTTAGAGCCCCCTGTTCCCTCCTTAGAATGACCCCTATGTTGGGTTGGTATCGCTATTTTCTGGAACCATAAATTTGTCTTACGGTGTGCTTGATTTAGCAGTCAAGTTCCAAGCACTCTAGAGATTGTTTTATTAATACACGTAATATATAGATAGTTTCACCTTCGATGGTCATGGAGGAGTGACTCTACTTCTGTGGGTTCATTCTGATCTACAATGAAACACAGACTTGATATGGAAGTACCCTTTTAAAGCAATTTCTAGAGTGTTTGATGTAGGAGAAAAGTAAGGAATAAATTCAGTGAATCTGCCCACTTCGGTTGTGGTAGCCAAACCAGTTACTCCTGTTTTTCCGTGTTCACTGATGACTTCTCAACATGTTTGAGAACGCTGGCTTTTAATTATTTACCAGTATGTCTGTGTTTTTCTGCTGTGGCCCTATTTTGCTCTTTTACAGGTGTGCCGACATTACCAGTTCTCTTAATTAGGTGGGAGAAACTGACTAATATCAAAATATATTAAGTTCCTTCATTCGTGTGATCTGCACATTGACTTAAGTCGATATGCAAAAAAGAAATTTGATGAAGATCACTTGGTAACAGAGAGATGTGTTCCTTTAATTAATAAATGTACATGAAGGTTCTTTGTTGTGTAAAGACCAATTTATAATTCCTAGCTTGTCTTTTGTGCTCTATTTATTTTTATTCAACATTATTATTGAGTTGAATTGTGACTTGACTGAATTGCTTGATAAGTGATCTAATCCCAGCTGTTATCAGTAATATTATACATGTTTGGAACATGCAGCTAATTATCTGAAAAGGCCAGGCTGATAGTGTAGACTTGAGTTTTTGTAGGAGTCGGTACACTTAGGTCATGGAAAAGTCAAGAATCATTCTGATCAATAAATGAGTCGATAAATTGCAAACGGTATTGATAATTAAATTCGACTGGCATAAAATCCCTTCTGGTCACCCTCCTGGAACTTAACCAGGATATTTGTCGGAGACTGGAATTCAGTTTAAAGACAAATGCACTAACAGACCCCATAGCTTAAAACTTCTTCTCAAAACCTGGTTGAAATTTGATTTCAGATTAAACTGCCTCAAAGCTGAGGGAATAGATTGAACTGTGCTGACAAAGAATCCCAGACAGGGTTGCCACAGGTTAGGGGAAGAAAAAACTTAAGGTCAGGGAAAGGGAAATTTTTTTTGAGTCGGGGAAAGTGGACATTTTGAAGAAAAGTCAGGGAAAATTGGAATAATTTAACCCCGCTGAATTAATACCTTTTAAGGCTGGAAGAAACATTTGGGGTAACTGTTTTCAATGATATTTTCAATTGCTGAAGAAGAAAAATTTGTTTTAAACTTATCAGTTTTGATGAAAGATGGAAGGGATGGATGGGGATGTAAAATGAGGCTAGAAGCTGCTATTATATCTGACATTTTGTATTTAGTTGGTCAGAGAAATTTTTATTTTTATCAGGGAAAAGTCATGGAATTTTGAAAAGCCATGCCAGTACAGTGGCAACCATGGCAGACCTTTTCATGTCCAGAAGAACCAAAAATGTCAATATTATCAGTGTTCATGTAAGATTCCCACAAACATGACCATGGGACGTAAATGTTATGACACTGTAGATCAAACTACCCAAGATTTTACGTAATTATGGCCGTCTACCCCCCCCCNCCCCCCCCTCCCTCCGCCCCAACCCACCTTCTCTCCCCTCCAAAAATAAATAAAGAAATAACTAAAACGCCCGTGACATTGCTTTAGGACTAGCACTAGTTTGACTCGAAAAGGCTCACGGGAGCGATGACAAAGCAGTCGTTAGTCATGCGCAGTAGCATTATATTCTGCCATATTTGAAATTCGGAGGAGAATAATATTGTTTGTCCAAAATGCCGGATTATTTAGGTAAAGATCAAAGAAAAACTAAAGATGATGACTCCAAAGACGATAAACCAATTCAAGGTACGTAATCTGCGGTGAAGTAGAGTATTTAGTGCGAGAAATGTGGAAAGGAACCGTTCGACATGTTGATGAACATTGTCAGAAGTCACAACTTTCTTTAATTTTTTTTCCGGTCCTTTATTTTACAGTTCTCGATGAAGGGGATATAGAAATTCTAAAGACATATGTAAGTTAGATTCTATATTTGTATCGTGGATTAAGTGTGCCTACACATTGTACACTTAAAACTTTCTTACGACAGAAACTGAACATCTCAGACTGACATGTACACTGTATAAGCTTATTGTCTTGTTCTGATCGATCACATGTCAGCAGTACTCTCGCGGAGCGATTTAAAGCGATGTAAAGGATCTTTTATATAACACTTTTTAAGTTCAATGATCTAACTATATTGTGGTTTTGTGGAATGATCTGACTACACCGTGCATAAAAAAGCTGAAAGTCATTCTCAGCTAGTAGCACCCCCCCCCCCCTCAAGTTTGTTGAAAGGGAAATGAACTCTTTTTTGTTTGGTTGACAGGGTGCTGGTTTATATAGCAGGTCTATAAAAAAGGTGGAAGATGATATCCAAGGAGCATTAAAGAAAGTCAATGAATTAACAGGTAAACATGAACCATTTTACTCCAACAATCACTCTTAATTATAAGTCATTGTGTAATGCCCATTGTACATCTGTGTACTTCATATACTTCCATGAACCCATGACCTCACGCTGTGTGATCTTTCGAGTGAAAGCTTTAGAGCAGTATTTATGTTCAAAAAAAAAAAAGAAAAGCATATATACTTCCACATGGCACTGCTTATTATACAACACGTGGTACATGTACACTGGTCTAGCTTACATTTCTATGGACTAAACCAAGTATGTGACTATTTCAAAATGAGGCGATTTCTATTACTTACTGTTTCATGCACTGACAACAGGACTTTTCAAATTAAAGTTTGTAGAGAAAGCCCTAGCGTGTGACCACTCACTAAATCAAATTTCAGTTTAACTCAGCACTGTATTTATGGGATGATCTTTGCTCATCTACAGTGTCTGTATATAGAACTCATGCTAACCGCATTCAAGGTCCATACTGTAAGTTAGACTGCGTTTTTTCCCTTTCGATGTATGGCCCAAGCACAAAGTGTGCAGGCCATCAATCAAAGGGGACAAAACAAAGATTGTAATTTACAGTACGGACTGAGAAGATGAGGTTAGTAAGATATTTACTATGTCACTACTACGTGTCTGACGGGTTTGGGAATGATTTCTATTCACACAGAACAGTTACAAATTTCTGTTGAACGTCAAAAACAGAATGAGTAAATTTCAAATTGTTGTTACTGTAAGTCATTAGCACGTTCTAATACAGAATTTAAACTAAAAGATGGTTTTACACTTTTACTTGCTATAAATTTAAAAACATTTGGCAATAAATCGCAAAAACATTTTGGTAACAAAAACAGCTTAAATTTTAGCAGGGCATACAGTAGAATACAGCCTGCTAAATTGACCAATCACAGTGCGCGTAATAACTGAGAGATAAAATAAAAGTAGTTATAATTATATTTGTGTACTATTTTGCTTTCCCAGGTATTAAAGAATCAGACACAGGGCTAGCTCCTCCTGCTCTGTGGGATTTGGCAGCAGATAAACAAACTCTTCAGGGAGAACAGCCACTGCAGGTAAGGATGATCATAAACCAATCGTAAGGGAGTTGGAATAATGAGTTCAAAGTAAACAGTAGCTTCAGAGGATTTTGACTTTTTTTCTTCTTTCATTCACTATTGGTCAACACATAATTTTTCCATGTAAATCTAAGATCAACAAGTTACCATCATCAGTTGTCAATTGCAGTGAATGTTTGGTAAGCAGACACCACAGGGACCAAATGTAGGTGTCTGCAAGTGGGGGTTCGACTACGCACAAGGAAATGTTTTGTGGTAGTCTGTCATTTTCTTGATGTGCCTTCCAATTCCAAAGATAAACTTTATTGCAGTAATATTATTTTGAAATGGACTGGTCATCAGTAAGGCTTTATGCGCATGTAACTAAGATTTCCAACATGTTGTTAATGTAATAATTCTGTTGAGTGTATGCTATTTTATTTCATTTTACCGACCAATTAACCGATAAATTAAAAATATATCTTTAAATTTTTTGTGCACGGCACTGGAGTATCAATCCCTGAGCAGGGCTGTCATTAAGTTTTAATATTCACCTGTAGCCTGGATCTTCACACCCGTAGCAAACTTGTTACTTTATGAGGGAATGGTATAAACAACAGGTCACTTCACCTGTAACATCAAGGGTCCATCAAACAAACCGGTACTCAGCCGTAACAGGTGTTACGGGTTACAGCCCTTATTGACAGCCCTGCTGAAGCTGTCTTGGTAGCCCTGGTAGACAAGCTACACTGTATTATTGTCATGTTTGTATGTATTTCTCATTCATTGTTCTGTTCTCTTTACCAGGTTGCAAGATGTACAAAGATAATCAATGCCGACACAGATGATGCAAAGTATGTGATAAATGTCAAGCAGTTTGCCAAGTTTGTGGTGGATCTTGGTGATCAAGTGGCTCCCACGGATATTGAAGAAGGAATGAGAGTTGGGTATGATAGCTTCATTCTTTATGCAGGAAATCATTAGTTTCCTTAAAACATCCTGTTTCAAACCTTCAGTTGCGGCCACCTCTCCTCAGGGACCACTTTCCAAAATACCAAAAGTTTCTAAGTGAAATCACTGTATTTGGAACCTCTTGTATACGACTACCTCTCGTAAGCGACTGCAACCACTTTTAGAGCTTAAGGTCTGAAATTTCCTTTTGTTTTTTAACTCCTGTAAGCAACCACTTGACATTAAAGATTCAATTTATAACTATTGTGAGACTTGTTCTGTTTGCCTTATTAGGTAGTTTATCAGAAACAAACCATGATAATCTGAATAAATACTTTTGAAAGCTTTTAATAATATTTTTGTAGCTACTAAAAGTTATTATATGGGTTTAGATGGGCATTGGTACATGGGGTAAGTCTCTGCAGTTACAATATGCTAACGAGACAAAATTTTGACGCAATTTGGTCTATGCTCTCTCAAGTTATCACCTTCCGTAAACGACCACCTACAGGTGTAGTTTTGACGTTCTGGGTGGTTGCTTATGGGAGGTTCTGCTGTATGACTTTGGATAGGAATTTGTTGCTTTTCTTTTGCCTGTCCTTGTGAGAGGCATGGTGGCATCAGCGTGCAGCTTTTTGAGGTGTTGTGGCTTTGTGTCCTTGTTCTTTTGATATGATCCTGTACAAGACACATTGCTCTCACAGATAGTACTGTCTTCTCTACATCCAGGGCAAACTGTGAAAGACCATCATAGTTTTAAAAAAGCATCAGCTGGTGCACAATCAGATACATTCTTTTCTTGAAATTATTGTCTTACTAAAATTAATTTAATTTTAAGCTGTGTTCCTGTACAAAATCATTTTGTGTTTTTAAATTACATTGCCATGTTTTGATTCACTTTAGGGTTGACAGAAACAAGTACCAAATTCACATTCCACTCCCACCAAAAATTGATCCCACAGTTACCATGATGCAGGTACAGCAAGCAAGTCTTTCTCCATCAGTGCAGAAAGTTTATGTTTTGCAGATGGTTAAGGTAACTTTTTAACTGCAGAGGAAAGTTCTGACCTCTGGGAACTAATTGTTTATATTTTAGGTTGAGGAGAAGCCTGACGTCACTTACTCAGATGTAGGAGGCTGCAAGGAACAGATTGAAAAGCTGAGAGAAGTTGTAGAAACTCCACTTTTACATGTAAGTAAAGCTGTTGCATTTAAACTGGTTGCTTTGGTTCATAGTCAGTTGTACATGCACATTGTGTTTCGAAATTTGATAGATAATTTGAGAGGCACAGTGTTCTGGACTTAAATCAAGTTGACAGGCCTTGAGTGCTGGTCAGAATTGTTGTGTACTATACTTAACTCTCACAGTCCCTCTCTCCATTCAGTAGGGTAAATGGGTGCAATGCTTGGAACCTGACAATTTGAAAGTTTAAGAGATTACTGTCCCATGTAGATGGTTTAGAAACTCTTTTTCTTTTAATCGTCAGAGGGTACTGACTGAGCTTCAGCCTGGCAAGTCAACTAGACTTGAAGACAAAATTTACCTACCTAAGTTTGTGTTTTCTTGTTTTTGCAGTCAAGTTCATCAATTCTTATTGCCCCCAGTGGGGCATGGGACAGGCAGTCAAGTTCCTCTGTATTTATTAGTTAATGTTATTTCTTTCCACAGCCTGAGCGGTTTGTTAATCTAGGTATAGAGCCTCCCAAGGGAGTTCTTCTATTTGGTCCACCGGGAACAGGAAAAACTCTTTGTGCCAGAGCTGTGGCTAACAGGACTGATGCTTGTTTTATTCGAGTCATTGGATCAGAGCTGGTTCAGAAATATGTTGGAGAGGTAAGTGGCTACTTGTGAATTATTCATCTTTTAAAAAATATCTGGGATGTCAGCACCAAGTAAAGAAGTGAAGGATCTGTCACTAAAGGAAAGTATTGTGTTGTTTGTGATGCAAAGTTCTTACAACTGACAATCTAAGAAATGTTTCAAGGATAGCTTGTTAATTCAACCTCTGGTTTCTCCTAAAAATAACCTAGCAGTTCAACCCGGACATCTCAAACTCTCAGGGAAAACAAATAATAATTTGAGATAGCAGGGTTTTGAGATAGTTGGTAGTAAAGAAGTGAAAAGACATATTATACATTCAATGGGAAATGATTCGAATTGGAGATGGTGAGGTTGCACTGTACACTGACAGGCAGACAGGTATGAAAATCAGGAAAATCATCAACCAGGACTGGAGATACATCTGTTGTCTGATAATATACCACCAAATTTTCCAATTACCATTCTAACAAAATGGTTTTCATTCTGCAAAGAGAATCTATATGCAGAGGTTGGGACTATAGATGGCTGCCTTATGTGTGGACACGTACATTGTATGATGATGTATGATGATGGATGATGATGCTATTCTTACTGATAACTCTTGAAGCTGTAACATAATAATTTATTCATGCAATATTTCTTTGTCACTAGGGTGCAAGAATGGTTCGTGAATTGTTTGAAATGGCAAGAACAAAGAAAGCTTGCATTATTTTCTTTGATGAAATTGATGCCATCGGAGGTACTGATTGTCGCATTTTTAGGTTGTACATTTGAATTGTACGTCAGTTGACTGAGGAATTTTTTCTGTTATATTGAACATTGACAGTGGTGCTGTAATAATTTTTTTATTGACCCCCCTCCCCTCCAAACAGACATTTTTTAGACTTGTCTTGGATTTGTAGTATTTACCATTTCTGTTTCAGGTACTCGTTTTGATGATGGTGCTGGTGGTGATAACGAGGTACAGCGGACAATGTTGGAGCTTATTAATCAGCTGGATGGATTTGATCCCAGAGGAAACATCAAGGTTCTGATGGCAACAAATCGGTAAGAGGATTCATTGTACAGTACTATTCAAGGTGGATCTTCTTCTAGTCTATTTTTTAAAGTGATGAAAATAATAAAAAGTATGCACTATTCTTCTCCAGACCAGATACTCTTGATCCAGCTCTGACAAGGCCAGGAAGGTTGGACAGAAAAATTGAGTTTAGTCTCCCAGATCTAGAGGTACACACATGTATATTTGTTTGTTTTGAATGTATATTATCACACTGCATATTATAAGCTTTCTCTCCAGCCAAATGAATGTATATTACAAGGAATGTTTGAATGCTGATATATTTGAACTGCGGAGAAAGATAGGAAGACATGATTGCTCATCGCAGTCATATATTCAACTTAAGCGGTTGTGAAATTACAGCCTGAAGAGCTGAGAAGCTCTAAACAAGTATCTTCTGCAAGACTTCATTGCAGACTTCTCAAACTCATTGATAATTCATCAAGTGAAAATAAAGAAAACCACAAGCGCGAAGGAGGTTTGGATACCCGGTCTTTGACTTCTCTGTTTACTCCTTAGTTTTTGTTTCAATTGAGAAGATATATCAAACACTCAAGACAGTATTTCATCAGCCATTCAGCACCTTGAATTTCATCATAAATACTCTGCTGCGCATCACATTTTCAACTCTCTTCTTGATGTTTGGATATCCTGATGAAACACTGTCTCTTGTGTTTGATATATTACTCCTTAATGAGATCTATTGAACTGTTTATTTTGTGTTTTCACAGGGCAGAGCTCATATATTTAAAATCCACGCTAGATCTATGAGCGTAGAGCGTGATATTCGGTACGAATTACTGGCAAGGCTGTGTCCTAACACCACAGGTAAATAACATTGTACATGTAGTTTGTTATTGCAGGGTATGTTCTCTTCCACCCTTTTAACAACCTTTCACAGTGACGGTGTCCTTTGCCTTATTTTGGTGCATGTTCCATATCAGTGTTGTCTGTACCTCTTTCTCTTCTGTTACTTAGGTGCCGAAATTCGCAGTGTTTGTACAGAGGCTGGCATGTTTGCCATTCGATCAAGAAGAAAAGTATGTGAAAATAAAGTCTAATTGTTCTTGTCTGTTTTGCTTTGTATGGAAGTTGGCATTTCAATGGAAAACCCTGCATAATATTAGCATTACTCAGCTTGCTAACAGAACCTGGTCTTGCTCACTAAGTTCAACCCTTTTCATGTAATGAGATTCTTTCTCAAGGCATATAACTGTGGACTTCACATGAATACCGGTATATTGTAGCCAATAAAATTAAAATAGTCCCTCATAAGTAGTAGGCCTGATGGCTGGCTAGAAGATAAGACACTGCAGGAATCTTTTCTTTTTGATTGATTGATATCATTTTACACTAATTTTTACTCTCTTTGAATGATTTATCACAGGTTGCTACAGAAAAGGACTTCCTTGAGGCAGTAAATAAAGTAATCAAGGCCTATGCAAAGTTTAGCGCCACACCACGTTACATGACCTACAACTGAGGACAAAACCTACCAAAAGACAAAAATAATAGAAGTTCTCCCTGAGAAGCCACCATGAAGATGCCAACTGGGTGCTGTGTCCATCAAGTTGAGCATTAAAACGGGTTTTGGAAATAACCCATTCAAGTGCCTTGTCAAAGTTTTTGTTTTCATAGCAATAGGATTTGAAGTCGAAAATAGAGAATGTTTATGTTATAAGTAATGTATACCTTTTGTACAAAATTAAAGTGTTTGGAAATAACAAAAGGGTTTTCACTCTAGCCTGATCTCCAGGGGTTGGGAGTATTCTCCTAAGTTATGCAAACCTGCTTGATAGCGTTTTCCACCTTGAAAACAACTGGACTCAGCCTGTTACAGTTCTTTATAAACACTTCTAAAATATAATACAGGAGCAATTTCTGTGTTCAGCTTGAAGAGCGAGGGATCATATTCTGGAGCAAACAGTGGCAGATCTAGGGGAAGGGCCGGGGGGGGTTCGNGGTAAGTGTACCAGTTGCCATCTTTTTTCGTACAAAGGATTCACGTTTCAGTCTTCTAGCTTCTACTGGGCCAGGGCTGAAGTAATTTCCGAGTTAACGAGGCCTTCACATTTTTTCCAAGTCAAGTCTCCTGCTGTAAAAGGCTGGTTCGAGATAGCCCCATATTTCGAATTATATCTCGGGCCTCGCCTCCTGCGCTACCACTTTCCCTCCCCACCTCTTCAGCCAGGTCAACGCCATCGATATCTTTGTCCGTCGACAAATCAGTCAAATGTGTTACATACCTGATGGTGGACCTAATATGGATGCGGTACAAACCGCTCGTCAGATGATGAATAAAGATAACCACAGTTTCTCTCTCAAGCAAGCTGCGTGCTGATTGACTGCGACTGACATCAAACTCCATCAACAGCTCATCTATTGGGAACTGCGCATGATCCTCAAACCGCTCGAGCCAGGCCACCAGCACGTTCGTCTCCGATGATGTGTTGTGCGTGCTGAGCCTGGACAGCGGTCGACTGTCTAAGGACATGGTACGGGTCTGAAACTACAAGAAAGAGGTACTTGATTGAGGTCCGAGAGGTAGAAAGAGTACTATCCAGGAGTACTTTATCGAAACCGTAATAAAGGCAAAAAAACAGTCCTTACGCTGTCCCAGATTCCAGCAGAAAAATTTCACTCTGACGAATTGTTACCATATAGATGTAGTGTAGTGTCTTTGATTGGTTCGTTCCACGGAACGCGTTAACCAATGGAATCTGACGTCATCAGAGTGGAATTTTTCGACATGAATGACAGATGTCACTCTCGCACGGCATGGAAAAGAACGTATGACCTGCGGGCCTGCTTGTTTAGGCTAACAAAACCCTCTGATTCTGAAGGACACTTAAGATATTTCTTCAAGCTACTGTTGCCAAATTTCAAAGAAATCCGACCCAAACTCGATCACGTCGACTTTTCGTTACATCCTTTTGAGTTTCGTCCAGTTGAGGAAGGGTCGTATTCAAAACTGGCCTTCCAGTTACTAAGATTTGATATTAGCTTTTTAAAAGCATATCGCTAACAGATCTTTTTACACTATGAGCACAATGGCAGTTTACCTCGTAAACAGTCGTTCCTTCCGAGGCCTGACGGGATAGCTTGCTTTTGATATCTAACTGACTTCCACTACCACTGCTAGTCGTTTCCAGGCTTCCTGTGCTGCCCGACCGAGTTCTTCGTCGCCGAACAAACCCGAGATCCTCGTCGCAGCTTTCACTATGTGACGTCATGCGCCGGAAGCGCTGATACCGCGGAAGCATTGAGGGCATAATGAAGGCAACTTCACAGCTGACGTCTGCGTAATAGAAAATTTCATCCACGACCGTTTTTTCTGTCGGGGGATGAGTAGCGGAGGAGCCCAAGGCCGGAGAATTCTTTCCAGACCTCGATGCTTCGCTATCAAGACTCTCTTGACGGGATGCAGAAGCATCATGAAAGCCATCGTTTTCGATCCCAGACACGACTCGTTCCTCGCTGCCTGTGAGGGTCGACATGCTGCGAGAGGACTGGAGAGGACTGTCACATGCACGCAGCGTGACAGTGTCGTCATCATTCTTGCCTCGGTTCCAGGCCTCTTGGACGTTTCCTGTCCAACCTGGGTGCGAGGCTACGTCAACTGGCCACCCAAGCGAGAGTAAAAACTCTTTGAACGCTTTGGCATGCTTGCAGGAATTGATCTAATGGGGTAAGAAAAACAGATTGTTTCAGTTCCCATCTTATTGACGTACGAGATAACAGTAACAACACATAAGTTAGAGGACCTCGCGCGAGTATACTTGGGAGTTAACAGAAACATAATATAATTAACAATATATCAAAAATGTAATTTACCGGAGGCTCTATCCCTTACTCACCTGATTCTCAATTATTTCATGCGGGTCTCCCTGCTCTGACTTCACGTAGAATACCAATACTGTGTCCTGTGTTCGCGTCGCCACCTGATCCAGTTCCCTGAGGGCTTTTGAGAGTCCCTCTGAAGTGGAATTTAAGGCCAACAGACTGGCCTCTTCAAATGGCCGCACTGGGTTCCCCTGACGAGGAAAGATAGGCCCGTAAAGTTCGTATGTTATCGGTCTACAACTTCGTTTCACAATATACTTGATAATTAGATTATGAACTCCAGATTTCTATGGATCATGGTTCATGTGGTCGAGGGCCGAATCAACTATCACTTCATAGAAATCGACAGTAAATAATCTAACTGTTTTAGTACAATTCTCACTACAGTTCCTTAACAACGATTTCTAGTTATTTCTCTAGGTAGTTTCACACTTAAACAAAAACGCGGGGACTGAATTGTCTTTTGAAACTCAAAGTTGTGTGCGCGCGCTAATTAATTTTCAACTGAGAGTATCGAGTTTCTCATTAAGTGGAGTAGCCGATAAGGCGAATTGTCTAGTAATGTTTCTAAATCTTGCTTCGAAACTTCGAAAAACAAATTTTCGGTAATCGTCTGTCAAATACATCTGATCACGTCCAAGAGCTAGGTGGTAGCATTTTCACGGTGGCCAAGGTGAACATTTACCTTCAGTCCTTCAATAGTCAGTAAACCAAAGTGGGACAGCATCAAACGAGACGGATTAAAGTCCTGGCAAGGCCTGTAAAACAGCGCCACAATACTTGTCAAAAGAGAAGTTAGCAGTTGTCACGGTCACGGACACGGCCGCAAATGGGGCCCAGTCTGGACACGGATGAAATTCAGACCCTGGAGAGAGCGCAGTGAATCTAAACAGCTGGCAATTTCCGCCAAAAAAGTATCCGAACAGTTTCCGATTATTATTGCCCAATAAGGAATGGCACGAACATTGTGAGAATTACGTCATTTGACGTCACGTTACTTAACAACATACTGACCGAACACTGCTGACTCAGTCGGCTCTCGGGAATGGGATTTAAATCATTTGGCTTGCCACTTGCAAAAAACAAATCTGGGAAATTTTATCATGAGAGGACTAACAACGTTCAGTCTTTCGGGAAAATGGAGTTAATGAACAGTTCCTGAAGTTTAATTCACCCAAATTTCGGGAATGAAAATTTTATAAGGAAAGTAACTCATTTGGTGATCCCAGCTTCCTCTCTCCTATGAAACAGAACTACCTTGTCTCCCACTTTCTCTTCCTATTATGCTTGCTTACCGGGGTGGTCTTATTTCCGTCTCTTTATCCGGGAACTGGACGCGGGCTTTCTCTTCATCCAACTTGGTCTGAGCCACTGTTTCATGTTCCATCTGACACAATAGAAAACAGTCAATAAAATGGCTAATGCCCAGTTTTCACGGAAGGCATCAACGGAATTACACAGAACACGAACACACGAAATTCTAATGGAAAATATCAAAACTATCGCCGCTTTGTTTCTTTTTACAAATGACAAAAAACCCAAAATTTTCAAAAGAAAAATCTTTCGAAGGAGTCATCTGCTCGCTACGATTCTATCATAAACAGTGGAGTTGAAAGCGTTTACGTAAAGGCTTACACATGCGCCGAGCCGTCGGAAACCATCCCCTAAAAAACTGACGTTTCAACAGTCTGTGCGGAAGTCATCGTCAGAAGATGACTTCTGCTCGAGGTGTCGAAACCTCAGTTACTCATTAGGCAGTCCTTACCACAAATACCTTACCCGGATGATTGAACTAATTGTAGTAGATGAACTATCATCAACCTTCCTCTCCATTATTTGGTCAATAAATTCTCAAGAAAATTCGACACAATCAGATTCAAATCGCCTAAATTGTTGTATAGTTATGCTGCACGCAGCCTCAGTCACCCCCCTCCCTCAACAACAAATACCGTCCAAAATAGCAGCAAAAAAACCCAAGAGGCTGGCATACTCTTACCTGTTTCTGCATCAGTGTCCGCATATGGTCTTGCACTTCACTGAGTTTGGCGTCCAGAATTTCATCTAGTTCTGGTATACTACGGTCTCTGAAGTGATAAAGGTACATTCCTCTGAAAGTGATTCGTGCACTGAGTGTTTGCGTTCAAACAGATATGTTGTGCACGCCTTAGAACCTTAATTCCCCCCCCCCGACGATCAGATCTCACAAACGGTAACTTCTGTGAAAACCAAGTACTAGCAGGTTTACTTACGCCTTAGTAAGAGGCACTGCATCCACAGCCTCAGGAAAGGCCCTACGTTTTATGTTCGGGGGTGGGCGTGGCTGAGTCTTGTCTGGGGACGGACGGCCTGGGTCCTTCAGGTGGGCTTCAATCAAGTCCTTTTGAAAAATAATGAGTAGAGTTAAATTATGTCAATGGTTTTGCTATTTGCCCCTTTTGGTCTATTAAGAGGTCTTCTCAAACTCATCATTAATGAGTTTGACCGAAGGAAATCATGCGAGTGAAGGTGTTTGGATATCTGATCTTAATTAACATAGATTTTAACAATTATGTTTCTACATTTTCTGCTTAGTTTTAGTTTCGATTGAGAATATATACTAAATATTCAAGACAGTGTTTGATCACATTTCCAAACACCTCAAAGTTCTACGCGTCGTATTTTCAACTCTCTTCTCGGTGTTTGGAAATGTGGTCAAACACGGTCTTTCGTGCCGGTTTGATATATTACTTATACGATTCGGAGAACTCGGCCATAAGAATTCCTCGAGTATTTCCGAGAACTACAAATGAAAACACTATGTTAAACTAACACTAAGTGTCTTGCCCAAGGACACAACGCAATGTCCCCGGCCAGGCCACTTGGGGTGTGTATTGTAATGAAGCATCCTATGATGGACGTTTAAATGAATAACCGTACATTTTTCTCTCGTGAGAACTGTCTCAACTGCATAGTCCACACGTAACGACCTGCTGGTCCACGCACAACCGATGATAAGGTCGGTAGTGGGTCTGAAAAAAAAAACAGATAAAAACTGAATTGCTTATTGCACGGGAGTTTACACGACGATATGGGAAAAAAAATGACGTGAGCACCGGAAGGAAAACGCGGGAGGAAGGCATTGAGAAACATGGCGTAGGACAGTGGAAAAATAGCGAATGGCGATGGGTTACTGTTCTTGGGTAGAGGTAGGGCTGGCGGCGGCTGACTGAGTGAAAAGAGGTAAAATTTCTGGCCCCACTCACCATACGGAGAAGCGGAACTGATGATGATAATGGACAAAAATGGAATTTGAAATACGAATTAACGAAAGGCACTGAAAAAACTGATCCCTTTGGCGATTTTTTTTTTGGAAAATAAGTCTGGTGATTTTCATTCTGTGTCAAGTATCATAACATTTTAGGAGAGTGGCCCACCTTTGGCTTTGAGAGATTCTTCCAGCAATCCCATGATAGTACTGCTGTCTTGGATCGCAAAGTATTGGAACCTACGACGTGTCTGCGACCAAAAAAAAAAAAAACGACAGAAGTAAACCAGTTGTAATACATATCAACCACAGAAGCGGTCTTCTCCATTGTAAGGGAATCTCCAATCTGGTTTCTCAAAAAAAAAAATCGTTCACCTTGAGTGTTTAAGGTTGCGGAAGGTAAAGGAAGGTAAAGTTTGCATACCAGTTAATTGGCCCATCAGACCAACGCTTATCTCTGGTTTCAGTAGCGTGAAGCGACTAGGAGCATTTCTACTCCTCCCTGGATGGGATGCTAGTCCATCGCAGGGTTACCCCCAGCATTAACTTTCTCGCTAACCATTTATACACCTAGGTGAAGAGAAGCACTGTGAGAGTAAAGTGTCCCAAGAGCACAGCACAATGTCCCCAGCCAGGGCTCGAATCCCGGACCACTCGACCGGGAGGCGAACGCACTAACGATGAGGTCATCGTGCCACCGGGGTGGAAGGAGGGTAGCACAATTATGCCCTACATGGTCCTCCATCCAGCAGTTATCTGGGTGCCACCCAAGATCACACGCGTTTAACTATAGAGTGAGCGTGATGTTTCGTTGTCACCCAGTGCTAATGGCAAAAGAGGAAAACGCGAACTACATTTCACTGCTGCGAGAAGCCATATCAGTTTTACTGTGTTGTTCTGACCTTTGTGGGGGAATCATTTGACTGAACATGATTCAGAACCCATTCTTCATCCAAAAGAGAAGACAAAGCCGCTGGACCGCACGGTGAAGGAAAAGCGCCCTGTCAAAGGAACAGCATCAAGTGTTTAGCAACACAACAGGCTGGATAAGTAATTTCTGGCTGAGCACTGATTTACAGTTCATAAAATTTTAAATGTTTACATGCTTTAGTACCTCAGTATTTATGTAATTATTTTATAAGGAACTATAATGTTCCCGTCGGGGACTCAGATTTTCTCTTTGTTCCACGCTCGTGATATTTAATTATGAACATTCATATTTATCACATAGTTAGCAAGACTGATAACATACCAAGTGTTCCATGATGACCGTAAGCAATCCTTCAGCAGCTTCTCGTACTCGGAATGAAACAGGTTTTAACTCTTTGTCACCTAAAATGTGCAGCATGTTAAATTTAGCAATGTTAATTTATCAGCTGTTAAACTTGGTTCAGGAAAAACGCAATCAAAATAAGATATGTCAGACCCCCAAATTTATAAACGCGTCACCCTCGATCCCAAGCTCTTATCCTTTGGCTCCCCTGTTGAGAACCTGGAATCGAGGCTGTAAACAGGTACCAGAAAACCTGACAAAATGCCGCTGGGAAAGCTTTTGACCAAAACCTTTATCAAGAGCCAACAGTTCCAAAAGATTTATGGGCATACCTTTCAGTCGAGGGCCAGAGTCTGTTGCAAGCTGAGGATCCTAAAAGAGAACCCTATTATTATTCACTTGTTAAACTGACCTGTATCAATTGTTCAGCGTGAATATGTTTTTCTCTTCTTTTTTTCACTCTAACCAATCAGGGCAAAAAAATTTTTTTTTCAACCAATCCGGGCAAAATTTTTAAACTTGTCTGCGTTTTCCCGTGCTTAGCAGCGGTTGCCCGTTTTCCCACGCTTCGCCCTGGTTTTACCTTTTCCGGCGCTTGGCGCTGACTGCATGTCTACTTTGAGTTGTGATTGGTTCACCGAGCTAAGCTGCGATTGCTGTGATTGGCAAGATCCAATTGATTTGGGTTCGGTTTCCCAACAAACGCTTTTAATGTACCCAGTTTTACCTTCAATGTCAGAATAACAAAAAAATTGAAAGCATGTTTCTTTGGCAAGGAAAGATTTCCACAAACTTTAGGTGGCAC